GCTCTATGTTATTCAATGAGACCAGCAGGATTTCTCAAACCTTTTTATTCCTCCTTCCCATTAAGGCTGTGAATGAGCTACATCCATGAAAGTCACCCCAATCGGAGACAAAGGATAGCTCTCGCTTAGACTGAAAGAATTCTTTAGATACCATTTACGGTTTGTCTTCAGCACTCGTTTGTTCGGAGCTGATAATCCTATTCAAAAAAGCCTGAGAACTAAGGAACGAAAGTGAAGCGCATGTGTCTCTGTCACTGACAGGCTCGTTAACGTCGTCAAGGTAACCGTGCTTCAAAGAGATTTTACCTCCACCACTTTAAACAGCACATTTTAATCTAATGGAGGGAGACAACACTGATTTAACATTAGGAAGTGGATACAATATGACTACTGGCCATGACCCTTCCCTTCACACGCAACCCTGATAGACTTTCAAAATAAGACTCCGGGGACCCTTCAAAATAAAAGCCCCTACATTAAACTCATATTTTTTTCCCAGCATATGGGTCAACATTATGATCCGAACTCAACCACTTTTTTAAAATTAGACTCTAGGGGGGTTTTCAAAACACACCCCACAGCAAATTTCAAAATAAAAGCCTCCCATTGCCACTTCATCTACTGCCCTAATAACAGGGGAAAAGAGTGATTTAAGGATTTGAAAGTCATCAAATATCACTGCTGGGTCTGACCACTTTACTCAACACACAACCATGCTAGACTTTCAAAATAAGACTAAAGGGACTCTACAAAATAAAAGCCTCTTTCTTACATACACTCATTCGTTGTGCCATATGGCTTGTAGCTATGACCCAAACTCAACCAATTTCTTCAAATTACACTACCAAGGCCTGTTGACCCCACACCTAAGTGCATATTTCTTAATCAGGTTCTAAGATTTACACTGTAATAAAGCATCTGCTAACCTTGTAACATGCAGCCTAAGCCTGCCAACGGTGCTGTCATCAACACAGTGGCTCATAACATACAGGTTAGATTTTTTGATAAATTCAGCTCATTAAGTTTTATTAGCTCTCTTTTTATAAGCTTCTCTCTCTGTCCTTCCTGTGCTTCTTATGGTCAGTCTTGTACTTTGGTTTGTGGATTTTCAAGCTTCTAAGGATGACACTGTTTTCTCTATGCTGATCAACTGACACATTTTAATTAATTTCAAATTTTTTTTACAAGTCTTGAGATTTCCACATATGATTTCAGACTTTAATACTTATTATACATATTCAACATTTATCTTCCTATCCTTAAGCTACTCATTTTTTTCTTCAACTAGTTAAGATTCAACTTTTTTACTGTTTATGTTACCGTTTTTGCTATTTTATAAAATTTCTGCATATTTTTTCCAATTTTGGCTTGATTCTGCTCTCTTTCTGGAAAGGCATTAAGCTTTTCTGCTTGCTGTTAATTAATAACATGTCTGCCATGTTTCTGCTGTTGGCTTCAGCTACTTTTAAGAAACTAATTAGACATTTTTTGCTATTCCATACCATTTCAGCAGCTTTGACTTTAATTTTTTTCAGCTTCTTTCTGCCATTTTAACCTTACAGCTTACAGTTTAGCGTACAGCATTCACACTGCATTTTCGCAGGAAATGCAACTTTTTCTAGTTTTTATTTTTTTTTCCCTATTCAGGAATAAATATAGACTGTGTTATTAAGACTCTGCTTGTTCTACGTCCTCCTTTGTGCTGTATTTCTGTGGATTTCCTATACATGCTTCAAATGGGAGAACATGGGTCAACATCTCACCTAATTAACCTGTGAGCTTTCCTCTGGTTTCCTCTTCACCTCAATGTGTTTCTTGTTTTCTCATTAGGTGTTTAACCTCAATGCCCCGGTCCCGCCAGCTAATGAGACGGAGGCCCTGAACCAGGCCAACCAGTACCAAAACAGCTACAATCCAGCTTTCAGCGGCCAGTCGCAGCATTCGATGGAGCAGACAGAGATTCAGGCGGAGCAGCTACAGACTGGTGGGTAAATTCTCAGCATTGCTGCAGCAGTTCTCATATTTCCTCCTTTATCTGGATGACAGCTGTGTGGATTACTCGTGTTTTGTTAATAGCCATACTCTGCCTCTTTTCTTTTCCCCAGTCGTCGGTGCCTTCCACTCCCAAGACCAGACTGGCGGCCATCAGCAACCCCCTCAACAGGGCCCAGGCTTTGGCAGACAGTCCTACTACAATAGCAGAGGCATGTCTCGTGGTGGACCCAGAAATGCCAGGGGCTTGATCAATGGCTATAGAGGCTCTTCCAATGGATTCAGAGGTGGGAGCTCATCTGCGACTGTTTTGTTAGTTCAACATTTATTAACAAAAACTGAACAGTGTCTTACAGAATAAGGGAAGTTAATTTCAAGACTTTTTAATGCCACTTGAAATAAAAATTTAAGACCAAATTCACAAGAAACACAAGAAAAACCTGCTTGGGACAACTTAACCCAAAGGTTTATTCTAACATAAACCACTGCACTAATGTTTCAAATTTTGAAAAGCTTCCCATACAGGAAGAAAGCTAAAAACACACAAATGACAGATATATTTGAACAATTATTTAACTGAATTCACAAACTTTGTTTTAGCAGGGAACAAAACTAATCAGTTTTAAAGCCACATCATAACCAGTGCTAAGTCTTTTTAGCAGCTATTTTTCTTTCTATGGTTTTCTTAGTATGTTTGATTTGGTGATAAGTGGAGGCGTTGCAGAGACAAGGGTGGAACTAAACTGAGAAATACCGGCTGTTTCTCTGTAACTCCATTTTGACGCTTTGTGTTTCGTGCTTCGCATGTGCGACTCCACTGCCTTAATTCCCATCGTTCTGAGCTTGAATGACTTCTTGCATAAATCCACTGAGCCTCATGTATGTTCCCTGGTTTTAGCCATGGAGAAAACTCTTGGCTGGAGACAATTTTGGTTACATTTACACTAGGCTTGTCCCGATCCGATCCACGTATCGGATCGGGACGCCGATATTGGCAAAAAATGCGTATCGGCAAAGCATGTAAAATGCCGATCCAGTTTTTAAAAAAAAATCCGTTCCGTATTTTCCAGTTTCGCCGATTGAAACGATCCATTCCACTATTTTGCGCCAGTGTTCCCCTGTTTTGCATTTTTATTAAAACTTACAGTAATACTTGCACCTTTAACTGTTTACGGTTTTACTGTTCACTGTGCAATTTCAGATTGCTATTCGTAATTTTGTCCAGTTTGTGTTTATCTCTTAATAAACAGGTAAGTTTTGTGTTACCAAGCATTGTGTTTTATTCAATCTCACCTAATTTAGCTGGCTAGATGTTATCAAGAGTACTAAAACCCTTTTCAACATGAGTCTTACAGCTAAGGCTAAATACTTTAACTTAAACTTAAATACATGCTCGGATAGGCTGGTATCGGCCAGTATCGGTATCGGATCGGAAGTCCAAAAACAATATCGGTATCGGATCGGAAGTGCAAAAACCTGGATCGGGACATCTCTAATTTACACTTGCTCATATTTTCCAGACAAAAAATTAATGGTGCATCTCCCAAATGTCCCAGCCGCAACAACGCTTTTATTGGTTCCGCTATCGGGACGGAACCAATAATGGAGAGCCGTTATTTTTTTTAAATAATAAAAAAAATAAGTCAATTTTAATGTTTTATTAAGATTACAAAAATAAATCATAATAAAAATAATCCTATTTATTATGTTTTGAAAAATTAAGACCTATGAAAGACTGATTTAAGACATTTTAATACCAATTAAGGCCTTAGTTTTATTTTTAAGAATTCAATACCTTTTAAGACTTTTTAAGGACCAGCGGGAACCCTGGTTGTAGTCACCATGACTCAGATGACTCAGGATCATATCGTAACAGTCCTGAGCTTCAGCATAGTCGCGTTATCAGGATGTCTGTCAGCTTTCAGTTGGTTGAGTCACGCCTCATTCCACCACAGTCACATCAGTCATACAGGCTACAGCTTTCCACTCTTATCTGGCCTCAACTGGGAGAAACATCACATTTAGTTAATTTATGCTTTAGTCTCTTAGGTTTGTGTTATGCTGGTGAAGATTCTCTGTCATCCAGGTCATAGTCATTCCAAAAAAGCATATTACCAACAATCCACTGGATTGTTGGTAATATGCGTGTGTGGCGTTCGGCTCATGCGCTGCTCCCTTTTTCTCATAGGCGAAGCGATTACACTCCAGAGCAGAAGGTGGCAGTACTTCGACCAAAGCCAACCACCAGTAGTAAACAAGCAGAAGAAGAAGCGAAGCAGCTTAGCCGGGTGTAGCAGGGAAAAAAATCAGTTGTTGTGGAGAATTGTGTGGGTATGGCGAGTGGGATAGAACAGGAGTTGGAAGACGCGCCAGCAGCACTTTATAGGTCTGCTGTATGGGACCACTTTGCATTTAGAGTGACCTACGATGACGGTGGATAAAAGTGCAACAGTGTGCAAGCATTGTGCAACACATTTTGTTTATGCTAACAGCAACACGACCGACATGTCATGCTAACCCCGAAATCCCACATACTCCGTCAGCGCTCCGCCCCGCTGCGCTCCAGACCGGCTGCTCAAAGCAAAGCCTACAGCCTCCACTGTGGCTCCCGTCCGCTCCGCTCTGAGTCCCTTGGAGATCGTAGAGGGCATGCGCCAGATGATTAAATTCAAAGCAGCAAATCATGGGGAAATGATTCAGGGTTTCCGCGGATCATTTAAAATAATTACAATCCATTATTTTTGAGGGGATTTTTTCATCAATTCCATAAATTTTTATGGGATTTCGGTGTAATAGTCAACATGTATCGAACCAAACCGAAAACCGTGACCAGAAACCGTGAATCGAACCGAACTGTGGATTTTGTGAACCGTTCCACCCCTAAAATATATATATATATATATATATATATATATATCATCACAGGATATATGAACAGTGACCTATGAAAATTGTAAACATGTAGGGAGTGGGATATAAGGAAGTTATACTGCTTAAATATTAAAGAGATTTTTCAATAAGTTTGTAGATTATTTTATTAAAGGACTCTTTAGCATAGTCAATGGAAAGCTCAGAAGGATTAACCCTTTATAGGACAAGTTATCGTTTTTGAAGAAATAGGATGATTTATTACCTACTGTAAATTAACTTGGAAAAAAAGCTAACAAGTCAAAAAAAAAGTAAAACGTTAATCAAAAAGTTAAAAATCAAAGTTAAACAGTTAGTAAGACTAGTTAACAATTATACTTAGGCTTATAAACTAAAAAATGTGTCAGTATTAGCAATAATGCCTAAAAAAAATATATCTTTTTCTCTATGATTTTCACAAATTTCTTATAGAAGCACTTTTATTATTTTTCTTAATATATTTGGGCATGTTTTTTCTTATTACATTGACATAAATTTTTGCCATGTAAATATCCATATTTTTTTAATGTTACAAAGGTAATAAGGTCTTATCCTGGATTCCAATAACACTGTTGGCTTAAAATTTTGATGTTCAAAGTATTTCAGTGAGTGTCCTCTAAAGGGTTAAAGAAAATAACTTTCTATCCTTTTCAGGTTTCAGCTAATGAAGGTCTTGGCTTTTTTTTTGCTGCTAAAATGTCTTAGAGCATAATAGAAGAATAAATTATCGCAGAAAATGTTTTGTTTATGTTATTATTAAAACGAAACACAAATCTTTGTATTTCAGGTGGTTATGAAAACTATCGCCCTCCCTTCGCCAACGCTCCGAACGCTGGATACGGACAGCCCCAGTTCAACACGTCTCGGGACTACTCAAATGGGAATTATCAGAGGGTATGAAAGAAGCTTTCTGTCTTCATGCGAGGTTTCTAAAAAAAAAAAAAAAACACATGTAGTTTCAGAAAAGTTTCTTAAATGTATCTTTTATTTTTTACCGCTGATCAAGGACGGTTACCAACAAAATTACAAGCGAGGAGCTGGCCAAGGACCCAGAGGAGTCTCAAGGAGCAGCACTCAAGCAATGCGAACCTGAACTTGCCTTTTAAAATGACTGTGACTGAAAAAAAATCTGCACCACACTGAAAAACTTAAGATTCATGAATGCATTTTCCCCAGCTCACGTTTGCTCTGATTTCTTTGTTCCTTATTAGTGGTATTTTTTGATTTTCTGTCTCTTCAATCAAAGTGGTGCGAGCTTTGATATCTGGAAATAATAAATCATTAAAAGCTCAAAACACACAAGGTAAGCTGTGAACCCAATCGCTGGTTTACACGACCCGTGTGTACCAACAGTCCTGTAAACTTGAAAGATTCCATAAGTTATATATATATATTTTTATTAACAATTGCACCTGCCATTGCTGGTCCAAATTCTGGGAGTTTCCTTCCCTTCTTCGGTTCTTTTCTGTCATTTTGGTTCAAAGAAAGAAGACATTTTGTTTAACGAGCTCCCGTTTCCTTGTTTGTAAATTGATGTTGCTTCAAGAATTTCAATAAAGTTGTGTTGCATAATCTTGTTTCAGTTTTTACTTTTGCTTTATACTTTTTTTTTCAATAAAACTTTATTAACAAAATTGACAAACAGTATCAAAAAATATATCAAAACATCAATGAATACATTACAAGAGTATTAATAGTGAAAAAGAAACATATGGAAGGGGTACAAAATTTTCATATACATTTTTCAAAGGCATTAAAATTATTTAAGGTCTTTTGAATTGAGGCAAATTGGGTTTTAAACTGGACTATTTACATTTATGAACATAAAACTTTCTGAATAAAATAAGAAAATTCAAAATAAGACTCCGTTTTAGTAATGATGTCTTTGCACTGCAGTGTTATTTGTCCATCACAATATCTTTTAAATAAATGTTCAATTTCTGTCCAAAAAAATTTAACATAAATACAGTCATAAAACAAATGTGAAATTGTTTCAGTGACAGCTTTACAGAAAGTAGAAGATTCATCAAAGTCATTCCTATACCTTTTAATAAATTGATTTGTTGGATATATTTAATGAATTATTTTAAAGTTAACTTCTTTTACCTTGTTAGTGACTAGATATTTATTACTGTGAGTCCAAACCGATGACCAGTTAATATTCGTAAAGTTGCTATTCCAGTAAGACTGACAGCGAGGAATCACGATATTTCTGATAAACTTGTTACATTTTTTTTTTTTATCTAAAATGTTAATACCGTTTATGAAAATGTCTTTTTTTTAGGAGGTATTTGTACAATCGGTCCATTCCTGTCTTGAAGCAGTCTAACAAAACCAACTGGAATTGCATCAAAAACTATGCTGTATTCTTTCACAGATACTGGGAAATTAAAGGTTCTTAAAAAACTCAGTGTATGTCAGAAGATGTCCTCTTTCATTTAAAAGTTGGGAAACATAGTTTATATCATTTTGAATCCATGTCTCATAAAAGATGGATTTATTTTTGTATTTGATATATTTGTTATTCCAAATTAGAGATTTATGTGGGGAAAAATTATGTTTGTAGAAAAGAAGCCAACAAGACGATGCCTGTCTGTTAAAATTAGACAACTTGTGCTTTATACTTGGTTTGTATAAAACAAGAACATCAAAAAATGCGTTCAAGTGTTGGCGCTTTCTTACGTTCTTTTAGAGGTACTGTAAAACTTTATTTTAATTTCCACCATTTGTTGGGTGAGGCTGCTATACATCCAAATAAAAACTACTGAAAATATTCTACATTGCAAGAAAATGAATGCAACTGATTTAAGCTAAACATATTGCACCTTCTCCATCTTATTTTGAATAAGTGTCTAGACGGTTTAAAATTACAAGAAGAAAAAAAATTTTCACCAAAAAGCATGAGAACAAAGAAAATGCACTTTGCAGTAGAGAAATGTCAGAGTAGAAACAACTAAACAAAGAAATACTTCCTCAAATCTCTCTGACATTAGCCTGTTTCAATGGTATAACAGTAGTCGATCAGCAAAGATGTGTTTATATTAATAGGTATTTCTAAATAATGGGCCAAAGATACTGCTTTAATATTTGTTGCAGAATAATTGAGGTTAACAGGAGGACTGAGAGGAAAAGTCAGGTGCTTAAAGCATCTGATAAGGAAAACTTCCAGAGCTCTTCCCTTTCGGAAACTTTTTTTTATCCCGGGCAGACCTGAAATTGACCTGTATTGGATCCCCCTGTTGGATTTTGATGGCTGGACTTATTTTCCAACACCTGAAATCTATGACCCAATCTTGGTAAAGTAAGCAATGATGGATAAAACATCCCAAAAAGCCTTACTGATTGGAAGAAACCATCAGGGTAAGGGAAGAACAACCTGCTGCTATGAAGTCGTGCACTAATTTTTCCTCAATCTTGATGCCCAGATGTTTTAACTTTAGAGATACAGAATTTCATTTATGCATACAGTGAAGAAAAAATGTCAAACTGTCTTCATTATGTTTATATTTAGAAGCTGTTTGGATGGGAAAATACTACAGAACTGTATCCAGTATTGTAAGCAGATCCTAACTTAGCACGACACGAGAGGAAATTTATGCTAGTGATCACTGTGTTTTTGATTAATGATCAGGTTTACATTAGATAAAAAAAAAACATTTCCCTTCATTTTTATCAAGTATATTTTAGTTAAAAGTACCTAAAGACACCTTTTAGTGTGTTTAATGGGATAAAGTCTACAGTAAAATAATGCCCTAAATTTAAATAAATGTAAACCATTAAATGATCTCTGTGGGGGGGAAATAATCCAATATGTCGTAGTTTCCTCTCCCAATATGGCTTCCCATTGACGTTTTCCAGCTGCAGAGTGAGACCTTCAAGGTTTTTATACATTTTTGGCTTCTAAAGTATAAGTATCAAACTTAGATATCTATGCTATCGCTCCTGAAATCACTCAGATACATAGTCTGTTCTCATAACAATGATCAAAACAAAAGAAAAAAATTTCACTGGATATACCACATGTTTGTTTTTTTTGTAAATATAATAAACAGTAAAGACTTGTTGAGGTACAAACATGGGTAGGAAAAAACTAGAACGTGGGGCTAAAACTAAGAACATAAGTAAACAGTAAGGCGAAAAAGAAGCAATATTTAAAACAAAAGAAAAATAGAAATACTGGCTTTTTTTTTCAGAAACAGATTTTAAATGTTTCAATGAGGTATTATACATTTTAAATTGCTTCAGAATAAATTCAAGATCTAGATCTATATCCAGCCATTCAGCAAAGATCCTGCTACATGGCTGCACATCTTATTTTAGAATTTAACCAATTAGATGAGCCCTTGAATGATTTATTATCCACTGGAAATTAAGTTGGAAAAAGTCAAGAGTTAAAAGTAAAGATAAAAAGTTAATAAGCCTAGTTAACAATTATATTTAGGTCTATAAACAAAAAAATAAAAGTGCCTGTAAGGTTATGTTGTACATGTTTCTTTCACTCTCAGAGTGTTTTTCATGAATTTCTTATAGAATCACTTTTGTTATTTTTCTTAATATATTTGGGCAAGTTGGTGTTTCTTGTTATAACATTGACATTAATTTTTGTCATCGAAATATCCATATTTTTTTTTTAAGTTCCAAAGGTAATGAGGTCTTGCCTTGGATTCCAAAACACTATTGGGTTGAATTTTTTATTTTTAAAGTATTTCACTGAGTTCCCATAATACAATATGTGTGTGATGGTTATTTCTGGGATGTTCTCAATTTTAAAGGACAACCACTGTTATTATAAACTGAATGTTGTATAAAATGGGGTTTATTAAATGTGTCTCCATAGTTAAAATGATAAAGGACAGGAAAAAGAGATGATTAAGAGTTTCATCTGGACATTCACAGAAGGCACAGCGTGTTAAAACAAATTTGAATTTTTGAGCAATAATTCTGCCACTGGGTAAATAATGTGAGGTTTAAACCACATGGTAAAAAGATAACAATGAAACGCTCAGAAATGCGTCGCAGCAATTTGACGTCACACCGGGGTCCTCTATGAACTACCGTCTCCACGTGAGTTTATCAACATGGTGTGTAGCATGTAGCCCATGGCAGCCGCAAACATAACCTGCTAGTTATTATAAAGTGAATATATCTCTGAGAAGTTTATTCAAGGTAAAGTCAAAGTCTGTGTTTTATTGTTTAATTTTCTGCAGACACGTTTAACTCATGTCTTGATTTCTGCCATCGATGTTCTGATGATTATGTGAAGTTTCTCTCTGTGGCAGAAATACGATGGCGACGGTCCGTAAGAAGGTAGACAACCGGATTCGGGTCCAGATCGAGAATGGAGTCGCTCTTCAGCACCGAACCATGTTTGTGGTGGTGGGAGACCGAGGGAGAGACCAGGTAGCCCGACACTGCCAGTGGCGCAACCAGAGGGTGGTCAGGGGTGCCCACGGCCACCCTGTGTGATTAGCATCAGTTTAGCATTTAATCCCATTCTGCACAAACAGTAACATTATGAATCACACTATTAACCCAGATATGAGGAGGTGTTTATTATTTCTACAGGCAGGTTTATCTAAAGCGACCAGATTCCTGAAATCAAGTCTGGGGACATTTCCAGTTCGTAGATAAAAAGAAGTAGATTTCATCAAGATTCAATTTGGTACAACAGAGTAATAGGGCCAGGTTAGAGATTTTTTTCCTTCAAGAGAATAAAGTTGCAATGTGAAGTCATTAAATTACGACAATAAAGTCGTAAAATTATGAGAATAAAGACGTAAAATTACGAGTATAAAGTCGTAAGAATTACGAGAATAAAGTCGTAAGAATTACGAGAATAAAGTCGTAAGAATTACGAGAATAAAGTCGTAAATTATGAGAATAGAGTAATAAAATCATGAGAATAAAGTAACATTACGAGAATAAAGTCGTAAAATTACGAGAATAAAGTCGCAACGAGAATAGTCATTAAATTACGAGAATAAAGTCGCAACGAGAATAGTAATTAAATTACGACAATAAAGTCGTAAAATTATGAGAATAAAGTAACATTACGAGAATAAAGACGTAAATTACGAGAATAAAGACGTAAGAATTACGAGAATAAAGTCTTAAGAATTACGAGAATAAAGTCGTAAAATTACGAGAATAGTCATTAAATTATGACAATAAAGTCGTAAATTATGAGAATAGAGTAATAAAATCATCAGAATAAAGTAACATTACGAGAATAAAGTCGTAAAATTACGAGAATAAAGTCGTAACAAGAATAGTCGTAAAATTACGAGAATAAAGTCGCAACGAGAATAGTCATTAAATTACGAGAATAAAGTCGCAACGAAAATAGTCATTAAATTACGACAAAGTCGTAAAATTATGAGAATAAAGACGTAAATTACGAGAATAAAGACGTAAATTACGAGAATGAAGACGTAAATTTCGAGAATAAAGACGTAAATTTCGAGAATGAAGACATACATTTTGAGAATAAAGACGTAAATTTTGAGAATAAAGACGTAAATTTTGAGAATAAAGACATAAAATTACGAGAATAAAGTCATAAAATTACGAGAATAAAGTTGCAACGAGAATAGTCATTAAATTACGTGAATAAATTCATAAAATTATGAGAAAAATAATTAAAATTACGAGAATAAAGTCGTAAAATTATGAGAAAAATAATAAAAATTATGAGAGTAAAGTCGCAACGAGAATAGTCATTAAATTACGAGAATAAAGTAATAAAATTACGAGAATAGAGTAATAGAATTATGAGAATAAAGTAACATTCCGAGAATAAAGTTGTAAAATTTCGAGAATAAAGTTGTAAAATTACGAGAAACAAGTTGCATTTTATGACAACTCTTCCAAGAAGCTCTTTCTTCCCTAAAACGAGGAAAGTGGAGCATCATGTGAAGTTATACTTTAGCATCGGTTTGACAAATCAGGAAATCTTTTAGCAGCAGCATCAAACTGGGCAGGATGTCAAAGTGGACTCTGGTTGCTGATTGGTGGAGCTGGTCGGCCGTCATCTGCTGGGCGGAGCTCCAAGCTTTCTTTCTGAAACGGGTTGTTGAAGGATGACTTCAGTCTCGTAATGCTAAGACTTAATTCTCAAAATAAAAACTATAATGGCCGGACATTGTAAATAGGAACTGAGGACAGTAATGGTTTGCTTATTAATGTATTAATACACACACCATTACTTATGGTGTGTATTAATATTTAAACAACAAAAATCATGTCTAAAAGCCAGGAATATGTCGCTTAACATTGGTAGTACTTTCTTAAGAAGAATAAAATGAATAAATTGATGCTGTTTTGGTTGAGAGTGAAGGGGTCAAAGGTCGTTAGCAGGGCTTTTCCATTTTTTTGGGACCTAAAGACCTCTGCCTCCCCCTCAGTGACATGAGGAAAAGAAAAACCATAAAAGTAATTTTTTTTTTTTCCTTTTCCAGCATTTGATTGTCATTCCACTGTGACAGGTACAGAGCAACAAAATGAACTCTGTATTTAACCCCTCCCCTTGGGGAGCAGTGGGCTGCTATTGTGCGGCACCCGGGGAGCAGTGTGGAGTTAAGGGTCATGCTCAGGGTCCCAGAGTGGTAGTCTGTGGGAGTGGGCCCCCCGTTAATAACAGCTCTGATGTTCAGATTCCCACTAATCCGACACAAACCAAACTGTCTCTGACGCAGGTGGTGATCCTCCATCACATGCTGTCCAAAGCCGCCGTCAGAGCGCGACCCTCAGTCCTTTGGTGCTACAAGAAAGACCTTGGATTTAGCAGGTGAGTAAAACTTAAAACCACATTCAGATGACGTCAGTTAAACTTTAGAGCAGGCAGGGAGTTGATTTTGTTTTTCTGCAACAGCAATCGGAAGAAACGGATGAGGCAGCTGCAGAAGAAGATCAAAACTGGAACACTGAACCTGAATCAGGACGATCCGTTCGAGCTTTTCGTCGCTGCAACCAACATCCGTTACTGTTACTACAACGAGACCCATAAGATCCTGGGAAACACCTACGGCATGTGTGTTCTACAGGTGAGGGGGGGGGCTGTATCAGTGGCTGAACACTGCTTCTCTGCGCTGGTGACAGTTGCAATGGGATGATCTGTAGATTTACTGACACTTTAGCCTAGACTCTAACTCAGAACCTCAGAATTCCAAGCTCTATGCCCTAACCACTAGGCCGCCACTCGCCATCTTTACTTCATTTCAGTAATATTATTTTAAAATAATGCTAGTCGTGTTTGAGTACAATTTCTGTCTCCTTTATCCTCCTATATTTAGTTAAATTTATTCAAATCATCAGTCATAAATGACACTTCATGTTAAAATGTTAAAGTGAGACTTCTTGTTTAGATACAAGCTTTGTTTCAGGTTCAAAGCTTAAATGAATGTGCAGTTAACAGTAAACACGCTTACTGGGAGTATTGGTTTTGGAAAAATTCTAGTTGGAAAGGTTTTTCTTCTCTTCTATTTTTTAAAGGAAAGATCCGGTCAGCAAGGAATGATCAGCGGATCATTAAGCCCAATTTATCCTTCTGACTCATAGCCTCTATTGACCACGCCCCCTGCGCAAAGGTTCTACAACCGTCGTTGCACACCTTAAAAAATCCTGACTACGTATCAGACGGTCGCAAACCCGCACAGACTTCAAACGGAGGTGCGCAAACAAAAAGCAGTTGTGATTGGTCCTTGGTATGCCTTTCCAGCTGTCTATGTGGTCGTCTTTCTTCATTTGGTGCTGGGGCGCGCCATTTTTAAAAACCGAGGAAGAATGGACAACTACGACGAAAGGTTAATCGAGGAGGTTTAGAAGTACAACCACTTGTTAGATGCCTCAGACAAATTATAGAAATAAAAATATCCTCTTCGATGTCTAGCAACTCTAGATCCATCTCTGTGATATCTTGCAGATGCGCCATTGTTTTGGAAGATAAACACTCCCGCCGGTGCCGCCAAAGTTTTCGCAAGTTCTCCAATAGGCTTCCCCTTGCGCTTTGGCGGGAAACTGCTGTGCGTTCCTAGAAATTCCAGAACTACGGTGCAGAAGAATACCAGTAAAAGTGAAATTTGATGTGTGCGGTTGCAGAAGTATGATCTGCTCTTTATTTATACCCAAAACTAATGCGTTCAGAATGATTGGATGAATTTAGAGTTAATCAGTAAAAAATTAAAACAATAATTTTCGTTGCAAGTCTGGGAGCGGCCATTTTTGCCCAAATATAGTAACCCCTCCCTCCTGCCATCTTCCAGCAGTGACGTCACGGTGCGGTAAGCCTAGCGCCATTCTCCCCGCTTTACAAGCTAAATCAATGGGAACTACTAGACACATCTGCAATCAACAACAATTATTGAAGATTTCCAGAGGACTTCACCATTGAAATTCACCAGAGCTATAGTGAAACTGACAATGCCCACGTGCATGGCAGCTGGATGCTGGAATACATCGGGGAAAAGTGAAAAAAAAAGAGTTATTCCACCTTTCTGATTCCTGATCCTCCACGGACGGGTTGGTCGTTGGATCGCCAACTTGAAGAGGGAGGATTTGCCATCGAACTTCTGGCCAGAGAAAAAACCCGTAATATGTAGCCAACATTTGGAAGAAGAATGTTTTCAAGATGACTTGGATAATAGCGCGTTGTGACAAACACCAGATACAGCACTGGGACTTGATCAGCAGCCGATACCGCACCGTGACGTCACAAACCAGTAGGTGGCAGTAGTGTTCTTTGACAAACATGGATGCCTCCAGTAAAGCACATTCACATGGAAATTACTCTGAATTAAAAACACTGATCATTTATTGAAAAGGATGGAATAATTTCATATTTAAGTTTGAATTCTGAATATGAGTGGACTGTTCCTTTAAAAACATTTTCACATAAATTCTACACGTTTTATCAAATGATGTTAGATTTTCCAATTATGTGTGGTTATTTATTCATCTGTTTTGATTCTGAGGTCCTTGTGTAGATTTTTTTTTTAACCTACAGGTGAAGTCAGTTAACAAAAACTGATCCAAAGCAACATTTAATGGAGTAAATCTGCTGATGTAGGTATAAATGCGTAAGAAATTTCCATCTGTGCTTTTCATGTTGCATTTGCAGGATTTTGAAGCGCTCACCCCTAACCTCTTGGCCCGGACTATTGAGACGGTGGAAGGAGGAGGAATCGTGGTGATTCTCCTCAGGACCATGAACTCTCTGAAGCAGCTCTACACAATGACCATGGTAGGCCTGGAGCTGATCTTCCTGCCGCATCAGCTCCCCAGTTCAGATGAGCATAGCTTCTTTTTCCCTGCAGGATGTTCACTCCCGATACAGGACTGAGGCTCATCAGGATGTAGTCGGCAGGTTCAACGAGAGGTCAGTGCTGCTCCGTCTTTTTTGTTAAAATATTTTCAATTACCGGAACAAAAATATGACTTATTCCCGTTGTGTTTTTAAGATTCATCCTGTCCCTTTCATCTTGTAAAAACTTCGTGGTCATCGATGACCAGCTCAACATCCTGCCCATTTCCAGCCATATGGCCAACATCAAGCCCGTCCCTCCAAAGACTCAGGTAATCCTGCTGTGGGAAATCCACGTCGGTTTGACTGTTAAACACAATAAAACTGTTTGGGAACAAGTTCAACAAACATGAACTGATTTTTTTTAAGCTAAAACATATAAAATATAGAGATATATTTAGAATCAGAATCTAGTTTATTACCAAGTAGGTTTGCACTTCCAAGGAATTTGAGTTTATGTTGATGGTGCAGACAAATTAGATATACCGGTGTGTGTGTGTGTATATATATATATATATATATATATATATATATATATATATATATTAGGGTTGTCAAAAGTATCGATACTCAAAAAAGTATCGATACTGAAATGTTGTATCCGGATACAATACTCATTTTCAAAGGTATCGATACAGCCATCTAAAGTGCAGAATAGAGGACAATGCACTTTCAGAACACTGTGTGATTGAATAATTCTATGCATTTTTCAGTTTCAGACTTTTTTTGTGCAGCTGCTGAGAATTATTTTTGTTTAACTGGTTTGGCTTTTTATTTTGTAAATTTTTTATCAAGCTTGCTTAATATTGTGCACAGCAAACAACCTCAAAATATTATTCTTATTGTTTTTTTTTTATTTATTTCTTGTATTTTTTTTGTAATGAAAATATTTCTGTTGAATTTTAGAGTCTTTATTTTTATTCTTGTGGTATCGAAAAGGGTATCGAGTATCGAATATTTTACTTAGTATCGGTATCGAGTTGAAAAGTTTAGTATCGTGACAACCCTAATATATATATATATATATATATATATATATATATATATATATATATATATATATATATATATATATATATATATATATTAGGGTTGTCAAAAGTATCGATACTCAAAAAAGTATCGATACTGAAATGTTGTATCCGGATACAATACTCATTTTCAAAGGTATCGATACAGCCATCTAAAGTGCAGAATAGAGGACAATGCACTTTCAGAACACTGTGTGATTGAATAATTCTATGCATTTTTCAGTTTCAGACTTTTTTTGTGCAGCTGCTGAGAATTATTTTTGTTTAACTGGTTTGGCTTTTTATTTTGTAAATTTTTTATCAAGCTTGCTTAATATTGTGCACAGCAAACAACCTCAAAATATTATTCTTATTGTTTTTTTTTTATTTATTTCTTGTATTTTTTTTGTAATGAAAATATTTCTGTTGAATTTTAGAGTCTTTATTTTTATTCTTGTGGTATTGAAAAGGGTATCGAGTATCGAATATTTTACTTAGTATCGGTATCGAGTTGAAAAGTTTAGTATCGTGACAACCCTAATATATATATATATATATATATATATATATATATATATATATATATATATATATATAAAGAATACAGAATCTATAGCTATATACAATATAGAACATATTAAATATGTGTGTGTGTATTAGGGATGGAACGGTTTATGAAAATCGTCCGAACCGTTCGGTTCGACTGTCTCGGTTCGGTTCGTGTGTGTTGCGTTCGGTTCATGCGCTGCTCCTTTTTCTCATAGGCGAAGCGTTTACACTCCAGAGCAGAAGGTGGCGGTACTGCGACCAAAGCCAACCACCAGTAGTAAACAAGAAGAAGAAGCGAAGCAGCTTAGCCGGGTGTAGCAGAAAAAAATCAGTTGTTGTGGAGAATTGTGTGGGTATGGCGAGTGGGAAAGAACAGGAGTTGGAAGACGCGCCAGCAGCACTTTATAGGTCTGCTGTATGGGACCACTTTGCATTTAGAGTGACCTACGATGACGGCGGAAAGAAAGCTGTGGATAAAAGTGCAACAGTGAGCAAGCATTGTGCAACACGTTTTGTTTATGCTAACAGCAACACGACCAACATGTCAGGCTAACCCCGAAATCCCTCATACTCCGTCAGCGCTCCGCCCCGCTGCGCTCCAGACCGGCTGCTCAAAGCAAAGCCTACAGCCTCCACTGAGGCTCCCGTCCGCTCCGCTCTGAGTTCCTTGGAGATGGAGAAAAATAAAAATAATTACAATTCATAATTTTTTTGGGGATTTTTTTTATTAATTTCATAAAAAAAAAATTCATTCATTTTTATTAATTTTTTTATTTTTCGGTGTAACAATCAACATCTACCGAACCGAAAACCGTGACCACGAAACCGAACCGAACCGTGGATTTTGCGAACCGTTCCACCCCTAGTGTGTATGTATATATATTAATCCTATGGTGAACATATGTTAAAAGCCTTAAAATAAATAAATTTTTATATTGCAGTCTAGGGCTGGGCGATAATTCAATAACGATATATATCGATCGATAGACGTGTGGCGCAATAGAAAAAAAGAGGGTCGATAAAAGTTCGATAAAAAAGAAACGCAGTTTTCCTTCCTTCTCATTGTAGCCTAGCATGTAGGTTTATGCTAGTCACTGCTTCCTCCCAACCAATCACAATCGCGGACCCAGGCACGCCGTCACCAAGCGCCGCCCTCTCAAACCACAACACAGAGCACATGAAGCTGTGCAGCAAGGAGAGGCGGAGGAAACTGTTTCAAAGAAGGGTTTTTGTAGTTCGGCAGTCTGGCAGTATTTCAGTCATGGCAAGTCGGACAAAAAACAAACCACAGTCATCTGGAAAATGCGTAGGGAACCAGTGAAAACCAAGTCTGATAACACAACCAACTTTTTTTTTTTGTTATCATCTCAGCCGCTCACACCCGCAGGAGTACGAGCTGTGTAGGCCCCGGCGCCGCTCTACTCCGAGGAATCTTCGGAAAATATATATATATTTTCAGTTCTGGGCAGTTTCCCACGTAGTTCTAACAATTGAGATAAAAATGCTGAGGGGCCAGAAACTTCAAAGTAATAACTCAGGTTAAAGCAGGAAACGGGGGCGGCGGCATTTATTTATTTGTTATATTTATTTTGGTCACTTTTCTGGTCACTTTAGTTTATTCTTTGTCAGTATTTAATAACATAACTCAGGTCTCTTAAGTTATTTTTCTTTAAAACAATTCTGTTATGGTTAAAAAAGTTGGTTAAATAAAGATTTAATTCGAAGTCTGTGTTTGTGTTTTTTATTAAAATTAAATCATTTAGCAATATCATAAAAAGTCCAGGCAGAGCTGCACATAAAATATGGTTTCAAATCTTTTCAATAATTATCGACATCGATCAATATGCATTTTTTTAATCGATAAGCTTTTTTTCTATATCGCCCAGCCCTATTGCAGTCTTATAATCTCACATTAAAAAGTGTCTCTTCCTGCAGTTTTAGTTCAGGTCAGATGTCAAGTTAGCGCTCTGAAGGCTCTGCTGTCTTTCTGTTGCATCCATCAGTATAATCATTTTGGACTAAATCAAAACTTGCAGTGACTTTTCTTTTATTGTTGATCTCTTTGTTACTTTTTCCAAATGAACTAAAACTCTACTCTACATCTGAAAGTTTTCCTTCAGAGTTTTAAACGGTTAGATGTTAACGGTTCACCATCTTCTCTTCAGGAGGACGGTTTATCTCCCAGAGAGCAGGAGCTGAAGGACATTAAGGAATCTCTGCAAGACACCCAGCCTGTCGGCGTGTTGGTGGATTGCTGCAGGACCATGGATCAGGTCAGCTGCTCCGCTCAATGTTCTCACACCCAGTAAAATGAATAAAAATCAGAGTTCATTGGCCAACACTATACCTTCTGGAAGGAAACCAAGTAAAGGAGAAACATCCTTGGGGTTAGGAAGCAGAGCTTCTGTCTCTGCCCTACTAAATGGTTGGGGCTGCTAATGGAATGTCTAAAATATTTACTGATCATTTAGTGGTTTACTCTGAGTTGTTTGGTTCTAGGTTTGATAATGTGATACATTCTTTGAAATTAGGTCAGCTGACTCTCAGAATAGCTAAATTAGTTCCCTACCCATAGATCTATAGCAACCCCTGGTAAAAATGCCTGAGTCAGCGGCCTCGGAGGATGTTCATTCAGCTGTTAATTCTGTAGAAAACAAACGGATCACAGACATGAAACAAAACTGAAGTCATTTCAAATGGCAACGGTTTAGCTTAAAGAAACAGGAAAAGAAACCAAGAAAAAAAAAAGTGGTAGTCCATAACGGTTACTTTTTTAGATCAAGCAAAGGGATAAAAATATGGAATCATGAAAAACAAAAGAACTCCAAAACATCACTCGTATTTCGTTGCACCATCTCTGGCTTTTATAACAGCTTGCAGCCTCTGAGGCATAGACTTAATGAGCGACAAAGAACAAAATGAAGTCACTCCATCATTTTCATCATTCTATCTCTATAGTTCTGCTGCTATAGGCTTAGACTGCTGGAGGACATAGGGACCCCTTTTTCATCATTCTGCTTCATTCTATCTCTATTCTCCCACTCTGCAGAATCTGTTAGTTCAATCTCTAACGTTCTGCTCTCTCTGCTTTTTCTCATAGTAGCTTCATCTGGTCTGTTCCTGTTTGGCTGTGACTCCATCCTGGAGAGAAATATCAGCTGTGCTGCTGCCATCAACACCTTTGTTTCTAGATGTTGGAGCTTGGCCTGTTTTCCAGTGTAGTCCTGTTTCTCTGACTGTGACTAACTGGATGTGCTCTCTTCATCCTCTGACATGGGAGCTGGCTCGGAGCTCGTCTGCCTGGCTGTGTGTTTCCTGGACGGGGCCGCCTGTGGAGCTGGTTGACAGTTGCCTTTTGTATCTATGCTTCTTTTTCTATGTCTGCTTCTGTCTCCTTGAACCCCAGTGGGCCTCAGCAGATGGCCGCTCACACTGAGCCTGGTTCTGCTGGAGGTTTCTTCCTGTTCAAAGGGAGTTTTTCCTCTCCACTGTCGCTACAAGCATGCTTAGTGTGAGGGATTGCTGAAGAGTCAATGAGTCGATGCAATCAGCTGGTTTCCCTTAGAAAGAAAACTTTGAATCAATCTGACTGGATGATCTGGTTGAACTGGAAAGTGACCTGAGATGACTTGATGTGAATTGGAGCTATAGAAATAAACTGAATTGAATTTGAATTTTAGGGGTTGTGCAAAGAGTCCCTTAGCAGATGCATGGCATAATCAGATGTTAAGAGGATCTAAATGCCCTTATGGGTCAGGGTGCACATGCTGAGTGATAAGAAAAACTTAGACCTTATATTTTTACTCTGTGACTCTTGAAGGCGAAGGCTGTGCTGAAGTTTATTGAAGCCGTTTCAGAGAAGACCCTGAGGAGCACCGTTGCTCTCACCGCCGCCCGAGGGCGAGGGAAATCTGCTGCGATGGGACTGGCTGTTGCAGGCGCTGTGGCTTTCGGGTACAGATACAATTAGTCACAGATACACATTTAATTGGCTGTATTATCTCTGATGCATGCTTTGCTTTTTTAAATCCAGCTACTCCAACATCTTTGTAACGTCCCCGAGCCCCGACAACCTCCACACCATGTTCGAGTTCATCTTTAAAGGCTTTGATGCTCTGCAGTATCAGGTAGGTTCCACCTGCATCTTCCTCCCATATATGGTAATAAATCCCCAAATGTTGCAGAGAAGATATAAAACCTCGGTTTTAAATTTGCAGGAGCATCTTGACTATGAGATCATTCAGTCTCTAAATCCTGAATTCAACAAGGCAGTAGTGCGAGTGAACATCTTCAAAGAGCATCGGCAGACGATTCAGGTAACTTAAACCCAGTGTCCTCGTCTTAATTAGACGTTATTACGACGGAGGGCTGAAATACATCTTCCTGCGTTTGTCCCATCAGTACATCCATCCTGGAGATGCAGTGAAACTGGGCCAGGCGGAGCTGCTGGTCATCGACGAGGCTGCAGCCATTCCTCTTCCTCTTGTTAAGAACCTTCTGGGACCGTACCTGGTGTTCATGGCCTCCACCATCAATGGGTCCGTAAGAACATCGTTTATCTCAAACTGCTGCTGAAGCTCAAAAACCCAGAGCATATATGAGAGAATTTAGTCTTTTGATTACAACCTGGGAAAAACTTTCTGGAGATTTTTTGTGACGAGCCAAAACCAGGTCTGCACAGCTGTGTAGTTTAGGCCTAAAGACGCTGTTTTTAAAGCCTCTGTCACACCTTGACCATTTAGACCAGCGCATGTCTGACGTACGAAAAGTCTGGCAAAAACGCTGCCATATGTTGGATAAGTTATGGGTACGTTTAGTATAAGTTATGAGCTCGCTGTAGTACGCTGAAACACTCTGGCACATGTCAGTATATGGCAGGTATGTCGAGAAATTTGGAGCATTTTGAGCGTAGGCCATACATGTGGCATAAGTTACTGGTAAGTTATCTGATCCTTTACATTCGTTAAGTGTAAGTCATGCCAGATTATCCAAAACCTCTGAGTAACTTGTGCATAACTTCTGCGTAACTGAAGAACTTATCTGACGCGTAAAGGCTGTTTTTTGATCAGAAACAGACAGTGCCGCAGACAGGAGGCCTCTGATTGTTCAAATTTACGTCCGCTCTACATGATGCGTATTTCCTGTTTAGCACCTTACTCAGGGTTCCCGCGGGTCCTTAAAAAGTCTTAAAAGGCATTGAATTCTTCAAAATAAAACTAAGGCCTTAATTGGTATTTAAATGTCTTAAATCAGTCTTTCATTGGTCTTAAAAAAAAAGAAAAAAAAAGTTTTTTATATAAAAAAAAAAAAATAACGGTTCTCCATTATTGGTTCCGTCCCGATAGCGGAACCAATAAAGCGTTGTTGCGGCCGGGACATTTGGGAGATGCGCCATTAACTTTTTGTCTGGAAAATATGAGCAAGTGTAAATGTAACCGAAATTGTCTCCAGCCAAGAGTTTCCTCCATGGCTAAAACCAGGGAACATACATGAGGCTCAGTGGATTTAGTGCAAGAAGTCATTCAAGCTCAGAACGATGGGAATTAAGGCAGTGGAGTCGCACATGCGAAGCACGAAACACAAAGCGTCAAAATGGAGTTACAGAGAAACAGCCGGTATTTCGCAGTTTAGTTCCACCCTTGTCTCTGCAACGCCTCCACTTATCACCAAATCAAACATACTAAGAAAACCATAGAAAGAAAAATAGCTGCAAAAAAGACTTAGCACTGGTTATGTTGGGGCTTTAAAACTGATTTGTTTTGTTCCCTGCTAAAACAAAGTTTGTGAATTCAGTTAAATAATTGTTCAAATATATCTGTCATTTGTGTGTTTTTAGCTTTCTTCCTGTATGGGAAGCTTTTCAATATTTGAAACATTAGTGCAGTGGTTTGTGTTAAAATAAACCTTTGGGTTAAGTTGTCGCAAGCAGGTTTTTCTTGTGAATTTGGTCTTAAATTTTTATTTCAAGTGGCATTAAAAAGTCTTAAAAAGTCTTAAATTTAACTTGCCTTATGCTGTAGGAACCTGCCTAAAATGGTGATGTACGGATGGACGGCACTGAGTTGGTACATTTTCTGTTTGCCTCTGCAGGTATGAAGGCACCGGACGCTCTCTTTCTCTAAAGCTGATCCAGCAGCTGAGGCAGCAGAGTGCAGAGAGTCAGCAGAACCTGTCAGCAGAGAACCGGAGCACCAACACAGCAAGACTGGCAGCAGGTTCCTCATTTTTAGCCCCGCCCCCTCCACAGCAGAATGAATATCTCTCTTTGATCTAACCAGCTCCTGTTGTCACGTCTCTGCTCAGCTCGCACTCTGCACGAGGTTTCCCTCCACGAGTCCATTCGTTACGCCCCTGGTGATCCGGTGGAGAGGTGGTTAAATGAACTCCTCTGTCTCGATTGTCTCAACATTCCCAGACTCATTTCTGGCTGCCCGCTGCCACAGGCCTGTGAACTGTATCCTTTATGTTTTCTTTTAGTTAAATTCATCAAATGTCTTTTACATCAATCCTGAAAAATATAATCTTGTATTTTCACTTAGAAATGTTTTAAAAATGTCATGTGTTCTAAATTTTATGCTTTAAAGCAATTAAAAAATGTCTACCGCCTCAGAATGAGCCATTTAAAATTCTGACATAATTAAAAGCAGAACTCACAATAATCTTAATGGGGATTCTGGTCAAATATGTTAAAATATGAGTTTGATACGAAAGTTAAAAAATCCAACTAAATCAACGAAATTTGTTGATTTAGCAACAATGACTTATTTAAAAAAAATACTACAAAGAATCAATAGTTCATTCAGTAGTAATTCGGTATAAACATCAATAACCAAAAAATCCTTAGACTCAACACTGCAAAAAATAAAAATCTAAGTAAGTCGTTATGTCCTTAAAATAAGTGCGTTTTTTCTCGAATTGAGGATGAAAGTGAGACACTTTGCCAATGGAACAAAGCAATTTACATTTAAAATAAGAAAAAACTATTGCATTGTCTTATTTCAAGTTCATATTTTCTAATTATCTTATTTTAAGACTAAAGATACTAATTTCATTGGCAAATCATCTTATTTACCTTCTCAAATTAAGGGTAAATACACTTAATTTAAACATTTTTTTACTTATTTCTAGATTGTTTTTGCAGTGAAAACACTCCTTTATATCAGCAAACAGCCCCCAAAAAACCTAATAACTGAAAGTCCAAAATTGCCCTTTTTTTAAATAATTTTTTTATAATAATTCCCGCAAAGGAGTTCCATATCCTCCGAACTCAAAGCAAAGTCCTGGAAGTGTTTAAGTCCAAAGTCTCATTCCGAAATGAAAAACAAAAACAAACGTCAAAAACAAGATGAGATTTAAAAAATGGTACCACGAAAAATCCCCATAAAGAGAAATAAAGTCCAGATCTTACCAGGAGCGTCTTTCTTTCCCCTTGGCAACGTCTTCTTGCAGCAGGCGGCGTCCTCTGGGTGCAAACTCCGATCAGGTTTATAAATGCCCGTTCTGCGATGCTGGCATGAACTTTAATTGCTGTTCTATACTCTTTTATTTTTTAAAAGTTTTTAACATTCAACCAAAATAAAATCTGCTGTACAGATCCTACAGTGCCTTTCTCTCCTGTCCTTTTTATTGACTAATTTTCTCCACACCAAAAAAAAACAGCATTTTCATACCCAACATCAGTTTTAAGCAGCAGAGATTCAAAATAATAGAAAGAATGAAAGAACGACTGTTCTACCAAATAGTTTATCATCTGAACACTTTAATGTACTTATTCAGGAAAAGAAAACAACATAATGGTTATGCAACATGATGTCTTTCCTTCATTGTAGAGGAATAAAAGTCGTGCTTATTGCTGCTGCACTCATGCTATGTTCACACCGGACGCAGCAGGCGCAGCAAAATCGCGTCTGCTGCTTCATTTTTGCTGCTTGTACCAGTTAGTTCTGACGCGCGGCTGAAGCAGCTTTGCTGCTCTAGCTGCGTGGTGAAAAAGTGTGTCTGACGCGCGTTGGGCGGAGCTACTCTATCCTTTCTTTGCCTTGCAGCTATATTTGCTGTGATCAGTGGGAATAAAGTAGTTTTAATGTTTTAAAGTGAGAAAATCCACCTGAAAACTTGATCATTGCAGTCAGTTCATCCAGATTACCATCCTGCCTTCCAATATTATTTCTGTCGGAGCCGCTCAGACCCCCACATACCAGCGGTGCGCTGTCAGTAGGAATCCCATTCAACAGCAGCCTCTGGCCGGGTCGCCTCCTCGCGGTTCACCGCGGCGGCTGGTAGGTGTTTTTCATCTAAATAATCCGATCTGCAGGCACCAGAATAATAAAAGGGAACATATTCTGCCGGCAGGTTTCTGCATTTTATGTTAATTTATGCGTCAATAAACAGTTTCAGAGGAGCGATCACAGCGCTCTGTGTCATCAGCGATGTGTCTGTCTCACGGTCAGCTCCCAGATCAGCTCCTCTGATTGGTTGACGCGGCGCGTCGAGCAGCAAAATTAAAATTTTTCCATCTCGAACAGCAGCGTGTTTGCGGCCCGTCAGATGCTTAAACGCTCCCGACGCGCTGCGCCTGCTGCTCAACACGCGCTGCGGGACCTTTTGCTGCGCCTTGACGCGCGTCAACCATTGACTTTGCATGTAAACTCGCTGCTTCTGCTGCGTCCGGTGTGAACGTAGCATCAGACCGGTTGTGTTTTTTGCATCAAAGTGTCCTGTTTACAGACACTTAGTCTATGACAGCGGCACCATTAGGTCCAGTGGCGCTTGTGGTGCATCCAAGCATTCTGGCGTTGGAAGCGTCCAATCGTTCGGCGCTGAAGTTCAGTAAATTGAACTTCCCCGGAGCGTCAACCAATCAGAAAAGCTGATCCAGGAGTTTTTTCGGGGGAAAGAAACTACCTGCAAGCTGCCATCAGTTCTGCAGACATTCTGCATATGAAAAATAAAATACTTTTCAAAGGAGTTAAACTCCAAAGGCAATAGTTTTATATCCAAGTACTATGTAGTTCTTCATATATATATATATATATATATAATTTTTATATATTTTTATTTTGGGACAATATCGTCTAATAAACAGTACATTTATATACATGTTTAAGTCAGAATGTTTTGAGATTTAAATATAATTTCCTTCAACTTTAAAGGTTTTTCTGTGACATGACATCACTAGAGGAACTCTTTCTAACGTGTATAAACATCTTTATGAGGAGCTGGTTCTCCATCTTGGTCCTCAAAGCTTCCATCCTACATGTTTTAGATGCGTCTGCTCCAGCATTGCTGATCTAAATAGCTGTACTACCCGCCTGGCGTCCTGTCAAGTCTTAAAGAGACCTTTTATTCAGCTGTTCATTGAAGTCTGGTTACAGGGAGACATTTAAAACCAGGACTGTTGCTTCTCTGACGGATTAAACTAAACATCCCCCTTAAAATGATTAATATCATGAATGTAACCTGTAGGTAAGATGATCCCGTCTCCACTAGATGTTACATGTTTTTTCTTAACTCGCACTGTCCAGATATTATGTAAACAGAGACACGCTGTTCTGCTATCACAAGGCGTCTGAGGCCTTCCTACAGAGGCTGATGGCTCTCTATGTGGCGTCCCACTACAAGGTGATGCTTCCTTTCTGCAGCCAATCATCACTCCTCATACTGGTGTCCTCTTTGCTGACCTGCTGGGTTTTTTCCTTGCTGCTCCAGAATTCGCCTAACGACCTGCAGCTGCTGTCGGACGCTCCGGCCCATCACCTCTTCTGCCTCCTGCCGCCTGTTCCTCCCACACAGAACTCTCTACCTGAAGTCCTCGCTGTGGTGCAGGTATTATGTGGCGCCTACTGCAGGTCTGCTCAGGAAAAAAAAAAGTGTTTAGACTGTTTTTTTTTTTTTTCTCTTTGAGGTTTGTCTTGAGGGAGAAATTTCCAGGCAGTCGATCCTCAACAGTCTGTCTAGAGGGAAGAAGGCGTCTGGAGACCTTATTCCCTGGACTGTATCGGAGCAGGTATCCAGAGAGCCACAAGCAAACTGTCCACGGTTCTATGATCAACTGACGACTTCTTTCCTCCCAACAGTTCCAAGACCCAGACTTTGGCAGCCTGTCGGGGGGCCGAGTGGTTCGCATTGCTGTCAATCCAGACTACCAAGGGGTAAAAATCCTCCTCTGAGTGTTTGCTTATATGTTATCATCAGGTGGTGGAGCTATTTTAACAATAAATCACATTTCCTTCTAAAACTAAATGTCAGCTTTGCCTGTAAGGGGTCTTTTTTTTTTACTGAAGCCCTTTTTTCTGTCTGTTCCTTCCTGCCTTCTATCCTCCCATCATTCCTTCCTTTATTCCTTCTTTCCATCTTTTTATCTTTCCTTGTTTTAAATTCTTACCTTTTTTGGTTCTTCATATTATGTCTAAACATATCAGCTATAAATTAACAGTAAAAGTTTGTATTATATATTTTAAAATAACAGCAGAGGTCTTAGGAGTTTGGAAGGCTGACTCACAAACCGTGTGGAAAGCTAAAGTTAAAACAGTTTCTGTAGATACAGAATAAAACGTATCTAAATATTGAATCTACCTGCATATAAAGTAAACTTTTAAACTGCACTGATAGAAGATATACTAGTGGTTACTAGTAGAGCTGCAAAAGAACAGAACTTTATTGCTACAAAGAAATCTGTTTTGAACCAACTCCCTTTTTGTTATTTTAATCTTTCTAAGAAATCTGCATCAAACGTAGCAGGAGATCACATTGTCCATAAGCTGTTCGTTTATATGGTCACTTATTTATATGTTCAGTACATCTTTGCAGTGCAAGTGCAATAATCAGTCAACTACTGTGTAATCTTCCCTTAGCTCTGTGCAGAGATTTTTATATCTAAGGGAAAAATATTCCTACAATTCAACTTTTTTTTTCTTTTTTTTTATGCTTTTTTTGTACTATATACAATCTTATCATATTTTTTATCTTTGATGGCATCCTGCTTTAACCCTCTATAAGCCTCTATAACCAGAATTTCCCTGAAGGCGTAATCCTAGGGGATAAATAAAGTTGAGTCTAAGTTTGTAAACGAACGGCTTCTTAAACATGGCATCCAGGCAGTGAGACAAACGCATAGAAACGGATATTTAAACCGCTCTATTTGAATTATTTCACAGCTGTAATTATTTTTATTCGGCTGAGTTTGAATGAAGAAAATTTAACAGCCTCCTAAAATTTTTATTACAAATAATAGTGCAGTAACATGTACTCCATTTTTCTGTCCATCCTGTTACAAAATGATCAGTACTAAATAATTAAAAAAATTAAGGTATTAAGAGGTTGGAAAATGTATATTGTTTTAAGACACAATTTTTTTAAGTGTCCAAAGTTGTCATTTCTAGATTTAAAAGTCTGAAATATATATCTTTTCCAGTAAAATGATGTGAGCTGCATAGACAGATGTTTTCACTTGGTTTGAGAAGCTTTTCCCACTTTTTTGCAGTGTACTACGAAAGAGGCCTGAAACAATTAATCAGATTAATCAATTATTGTAATGATCATCAACTGATTCAGTAATCGATTAATCGTTAACTGGAGTGTAGAGACTGTAAAACATGCCTTTAGCAGACAGAGCGAAGAGTTATAACAAGATTGTAAAATAATATGTAAACATTTTGCATTTAAACTAAAAAGAACATTTTATCTGTCAATATGTTATACCCAGAACTCCTCAAGTGGAAAAATTTGAGTTTCACTTGGTTTAACATTTGTTAAAAAAAAAAAAATTCTTTTTTTTTTTGTTAAAAAAAATAAAAAATCAACTAATTAATCGATTTACAAAATAATTGTTAGTTGCAATGTAGTTTTTTTTTTTTGTGTGTGTTTGCAGCTGTATTTCTAACACATCTGTTAGATTCTATTTACAACAGAAACGCTAACCTCTGCTGCTGCTAAAATGGAAAAACATTTTAGATCTAATGATGTCTGGAACTCTTAATTATTTAGATTTTGATCTATAGAATTTAGCCAAGATTTAAATGTGCTTTTAGTTTTGCATGTTTTAAATTGACATCTTAATAATATAAAAGCTGATATTAGCTGGTTAGTTGTTTATATGTTTGGCTTAATAATTCTGGATTAGAAACTTATTCGGATGGAAGTTGATCCTTTAGTTTCAGCAGCATGAGGGTCTTTGTTTTCTGAGACGAAATATTTTCAAATGGATTTTTTTAATTTTTTTTGAAAAAGCTCCTTTTAAGCCAGCTGGCCAGCAGTGTGTGATGTAAGGAGCAGTTTTTTAAAGTTTGCTGAACTCGATGATTTTAAAGCGTAGGAACGGTATGATGTAGATCTTTCTGAAACTTAGTAAAGGTTTGACCACCAACAAAGAGACTCATTTCCAAGGACATTAAATCACAATTACATCCAATATGTGTGTTTTCTGGACGGGGAACAGTTGCCTTTTGTATCTATGCTTCTTTTTCTATGTCTACGTCGGCCTCAGCAGATGGCCGCTCACACTGAGCCTGGTTCTGCTGCAGGTTTCTTCCTGTCAGTGATGGGACTAACGCTGATACCTTGTTTTAGTAACGAGTAATCTAACTAATTACTTTGACTGTAACTATATCGCAGTTACCATTGCTGACACCCCGTTACTGCGCGTTACTCAGGTCGCACAATTAACAATTCTTTCATGATAGGACTCGTGCGCGCCTTGTCATGAGAGAGGGGAGGATGAGAATGGCTGATGAATAGTGAGATTCCGTGTGTCAGTTGGGTAGGTGGGTGTTTCTGCTGGCGGGTGTTAACGTACAGCACACACAGAGAGATGGAGAGTGAGGAGGACTCCAGCAGCAAAACAACGTTTTCCAGATGGAAATACCGGTGTTACGTCGAGCTGCGTTTCCCCATCAGATACGGTTTCCCCTGCATCTCCGCACAGCACAGGCGGCACGATTCACCGCGCAAGCGACAGGAAACGCGCATGCTAGCTAAAGGCGCGTAACAGTCGCCCTTTCTATATGGAGAAAGGGAGAAATCTGGATGGATGGATACTCTGCCTTTTCAACCTACTGTATTTTTTATTTTAAGCATTATTTGATTGCCTTTGTGGCAGGGATGGAGATCCATATTTTATGTCACACATAGAGTATACATCTAGATAGTATCTATAACAACCCAAACACAGGATTTCAGAATTAGACATCCCCAGTTATTAATTTCATATACTCACCAGCAGAGATGGGAAGTAACGAAGTACAAATACTTCGTTACTGTACTCAAGTAGATTTTTCTGATATTTTTACTTTACTTTACTACTTATTTTTATGGCAGCTTTTTACTTCTACTCCTTACATTTTTACACAAATATCTGTACTTTCTACTCCTTACATTTTAGTTTTGAATCATTTCAATGGAGTTACCGTTATTATTTTTCACGTCATCAATACCAAATTCAATCTAATTGGATGGGAATCTACGTTGCATTTGACGCACCACTACAAGATGAATCGACAGATTCGGCGGTATTCATTGGCGGCAAATCATTGCAGCTTGGTGGCGGTGGCGTTAGCATAGTAGCATGGACGACGAGATGATTGAAAATGAACACAACGGAGATCTAGTCCTATTGGCAGACATCCATTTAAAATGTAGGCAACGGCATGAAAAAAGTGGTTTCTACTTTTACTTTTATACTTTAAGTAAATTTACAAGCCTGTACTTTGTTACTTTTACTTGAGTAAAGAAGTTTAATCAGTACTTCCACTTTTACCAGAGTACTTTTTAACACAAGTATCTGTACTTTTACTCAAGTACGGAAAGTGAGTACTTTTGCCATCTCTGCTCACCAGATCTGAATGACCTGTTAAAAAACTTCCCATGGCGTTCCCCTCTGATGTCATTTACGTTGAGTTGCAATAAATGCTAAACTCTCTGCAGGTTCATGTCTTTGTCGTCCGCTCTATTCAGCTGGCTTTGGAAACACGCGGCGAGAAGGTGGGGGCCGGGTGGTGAGGGTTACGGGGGCGAGAAACGCAAAAGTAACGCAATAGTTACTTTTGCTAGAAGCTAGTTACTTTTGTTGTTGAGTAACTCAGTTATTTTTTGGGAGAAGTAACTAGTAACTAGAACTAATTACTTTTTCAAAGTAACGTGCCCAACACTGCTTCCTGTTAACAGGGAGTTTTTCCTCCCCACTGTCGCTACAAGCATGCTTAGTGTGAGGGATTGCTGAAGAGTCAATGAGTCGATGCAATCAGCTGGTTTTCCTTAGATGGAAAACTTTGAATCAATTTATATGATTTAGTTGAAATGCAAAGTTCCTTGAGATGACGTGTTGTGAATTGCCGCTTTATAAATAAACTGAAATGAATTAAATTAGAAGTAGAAAAAAAAAAAATCACCTGATTTAAGTGGACCTCCCTGGTTCAACAGATGGGTTACGGCTCCAGAGCTCTGCAGCAGCTGCAGATGTACTACGAAGGCAAGTTTCCCACCATGGATGAGAGCGTGCAGCCGGCCAGCACCCAGATCACCTCTGTCAGCAGCGAGGTAAGAGGAAGCGGCTCTGCCGTCTATCAGAAGGCCTCCTGATCCGATTCAAGCGTGCATGTCTGTCGGCTTCCAGGCGGTCAGTCTGCTGGAGGAGGTGGTGACTCCTCGGAAAGAGCTTCCTCCTCTGCTGCTGAAGCTCAGTGAGAGAAGAGCCGAGAGGCTGGACTATCTGGGAGTTTCCTATGGACTCACAGCTCAACTGCTCAAGTGAGTTCAATATAAGAAGATGGGTAACAGTGCTGAAATATTTAGGTGGGTTTTGGGTGTTTGACCTGTTTGGTGTCTTACAGGTTCTGGAAGAAAGCAGGTTACACTCCGGTCTACCTAAGACAAACACCTGTAGGTGCTCGTATTAGACCCGTTTTATTTTTGGGTGTTTAACTCCTAATTCATGACGTATTTTCTTGCGCTCAGAACGAGCTGACGGGGGAGCACTCCTGTGTGATGCTGAAGGAGCTGAGCACGGAGGAGGCTTCAGAGCAGAGCCTGTGGCTGGCTGCTTTCTGGAAAGGTGAATTTGACTCTGCCACCTGAACAGCTCAGGGTCGCCATCATCCCTCTGCGCTCCATCTGAGGATTTTTCTCTCAGATTTCCGCAGGCGCTTCCTGTCGCTGCTCTCCTACCAGTTCAGCAGCTTTCATCCCAGCCTGGCGCTCAACATTCTGCAGAATAAGAAGTTAAAGGAGGAGGCAAAACGTAAGATTGTTCATCTTTAGTTTCTGCAGCGAATCGCTTCAGCCGATCTGACTTTCTTCTGATCTCCAAACAGCTCTGAGCAGCTCTGAGCTGGCGGCCCACTTCACCCCGTATGACCTGAAACGGCTGGAGCTGTATTCCAGGAGCATGGTGGACTACCACCTCATCATGGACCTGATCCCGACCGTCGCTCGCGTCTACTTCCTCAAGCAGCTGGGCGACGTCTCCCTCTCAGCAGCACAGTGTGTAGGTTCTTACATAGCATCCCTCTTCCCCGCTTTTCTTTTATTGTAACTGGATGCTGATTGGCTGATGGGTCCTGTCCAGGCGCTGCTGCTGGGAATCGGACTGCAGCACAAATCTGTTGAGCAGCTAGAGAAAGAAATCGAGCTGCCGAGCTCTCAGCTCATGGGTCTCTTCAACCGTCTCATCCGTAAATTTGTGCAAGTGAGTTTCTCCTGATTTTTGTGGAAAAAAGGTCCATCAGAATCGTCCTGTTGGATAAAAACATATATTGTATCATCAGAAATTGTATATATATTTTTTTTAGAGTAGTGCTTTCCAATTTTCCATATGTAGAGATTCTGCTGGGAACATCTCAGAGTTCATGAAGGAAATAATTAGGGATGCACGATATTGGGATTTTGGCCGATATCCGATATGCCGATATTTTAAAACTCTTGTAGCCGATAACCGATATCGATACCGATGTTAAAGCTGGACAAAAATAAGTAGTCATTGAAAATAGCAGTTTTGTTATCCATTTCTGACACTTTGAAAAATAATATACCGTATTTTCACGACCATAAGGCGCACCGTACTAAAAGGCGCAGTCTAAGTTATGTGTGCCATTTCTGTATTTAACACACACATAAGGCGCACCGGACTATAGGGCGCGTTTTTTATATACAGGTACATGTCCTCTACTACCTTTAAATAGCTCTACTGCGTATTTAAAAATACAGCGGGGGCAAAACTGAGTATGACTGTGCTTTATTCATGTATTTATTACAAACTATTAATCAAACCTGGGTGCTGGCCATGAGACAGACACATCGCAGATGACACAGCGCTGTGATCACTCCTAAATTAACTTAAAATCCTGAAACCTGCCGACGGAATATGTTCGCTTTTTTGGGTGCCTGCAGTTTAAATTATTTAGATGAAAAACACCTGCCATCCACCGCGTGAACCCGGAGGCTGCCCGGCCTAGAGGCTGCTGATGAAAGGATTTCTCCTGTCGGTGCACCGCTGGTATGTGGGGGTCTGAGCGCCTCCGACAGAAATAGATAATCTGGATGAACTGACTGCAATTATGAAGTTTTCAGGTGGACTTTCTCACTTAAAAACATATTAAAACTACTTTATTCCCCCTGATCACAGCAAATATAGCTGCAAGATTTAGATTATTTAGATGAAAAAACACCTGCCAGCCACCGCGGTGAAGAGGAGGAGACCCGCCCAGAGGCTGCTGTTGAATTAAGTTTTCAGGTAGAAAAATAGAGCGGGAGCAAAACTGAGTATGATTGTGCTTTATTCATGTATTTATTACAAAGTATTAATCGAACCCATCAAAGTCATCATCCTCTGTTTCTGAATTAAACAGCTGCGCTAAATCAGACATGCCAATTTCCCCTTCTTCGCTGTCAGTCACTTTCCGTGCAGCGCGGCTCCTCAGAAATAATGCCGGCTTTTGCAAAAGCTTGAACAACAGAGCCAGCAGACACGTTAGTCCAAGCATCTACAATCCATCCGCAAACGGTGGCGTAACTTGGCCGGCGCTGCCTTCCACTTATCCTGAAACTGTGGTCTCCGTCTGTCATTCATCGCTCCCACGCCGCTCGCAGCCTTACTTTGAACGGCCACTTCACACCGATGTCGAGCGGTTGAACAGCGAGCACAGGGTTAATTTGTTTCCCCATGTTTTTCACATCAGCTGTGAGATGGGCACGCATGGAGTTACATATTAACAGCGATGGTGATGAGTGGGAAAAAAAACACCTGGTCTCCTTACATTCAGCCACTCTTTCATCATCTCCTCAATGAAGTGGTCTCAAAAGTCGCAGTTACAACACATTCCGTAAAAATTCAAAAAATATCCACTGGACTTGGTTTTCAAGATTTGAAGACGTTTCGCCACCCCTCCAGGAAGCTTTTTCAATTCAAATGTCTGGATCCGCAGTGAGTTTGAGTCTTATATAGACAACGCCTTGTATCGCTTGGAAACATGCAATAGAAACCGATGAATGGGTCGTTAGTTCCATCGTTAGCCTGTAATATCTGAAACTGTCTATGATTCTAGGGGTCGGTCGTTAAAGGGGGGATTGTCATTAAGGGGGGGATTGTCTCCTGTATTTCTGGTATTCCTGGTTTCAGGTATTACAGGAGACAATCCCCCCCTTAATGACAATCCCCCCTTTAACGACCGACCCCTAGAATCATAGACAGTTTCAGATATTACAGGCTAACGATGGAACTAACGACCCATTCATCGGTTTCTATTGCATGTTTCCAAGCGATACAAGGCGTTGTCTATATAAGACTCAAACTCACTGCGGATCCAGACATTTGAATTGAAAAAGCTTCCTGGAGGGGTGGCGAAACGTCTTCAAATCTTGAAAACCAAGTCCAGTGGATATTTTTTGAATTTTTACGGAATGACTATGACCTGGATGACTGAGAACCTTCATCAGCAGTTACAACACACATAGGGCGCACTGCACATTTTGAGGGGAAAAAACAAATGTTTAAGTGCGCCTTATAGTCGTGAAAATACGGTACTCAAATATATTTTCATATGCTGATATCAAATAGATTTTTAAAAACGCGGTATCGATCTATTTTACTTTCAAAATCTCGTGAAATTTCATCGTTCTGTTACAAACTCGTGATATTTTTTGCAAATTCTTGTGAGATTTTGTTAGTAAAATAGATCGATACCGCATCAATATATCAACATATAAAAATATGGCAAAAGTTCGCGAATTTTCGGGGGATTTCGTAGCATAACGATGACATATAGCAATATTTCATTAGTAAAAGAGATTGATGTGGTGTTTTTGAATATATCAGCAGCAATATAGCAGCAATATATCAGCATATGAAGGTATTGGGATATTTTAATGTATCAATATTTTTTCCCTCGTCTTTAGAAGTTTTAGGTCTGTAAAAAAGAAGTTTTTGAGGAAGAAGAAGTAGTATTTTTTTTTTCTAGACTTTAGAAACTCAGAAGCTGATCAAATATCGGGTTAAATATCGGTGGGGTGGCCGATGTCCGATATTCAGTTTTAAGGCCGATACCGATAGGGGGCCCATTATATCGTGCATCCCTAGAAATAATCCATTCATGATGTTTTCAATTTTATGTACCAGAAAAAAAAGACATTTTGCAGCAGATAATATGAATGAATTCCAATCTACTAATAGATGGAAAGCCTTTCTTTTGAAAAAGCATGTTCAAAAGAGGATTTATCTTTGGTAATAACATTGTTAATTAGAACGGTAAAATTAAGGAGTATGAGGAATTTAGAATTATATATATTTGATGCTTCTTCAAACTTTTCTTTTAACCAACTAAATGGAGTAATGGGGAAAAAAAAGAACAATGGAACTACTAAACTAAATGTTTGAAAAAAACCTCCAATAAGAAACTAATTGGCAAAAGGGAATTAAAATAAATAGTAAAATATAAAGATCTTATTTAATAAAAAAAATCACTGATGGTTACCCCATATGGAACACGTATGGAAAATGGGAGGATTACTTTGACTGTCGTGGGATAAAATATTTAAATTAATTTATAAAACTAAATCGTTATTTTCAAATTAAAATCATCTACAATTTCTTACCCACTAGGAAAATGTTAAAGCTTTGAATTATCATAGAGTCAGATGGTTACCGTTTCTGTTGTCAGGGTCTGAATCTGCATTTATTTTTGATTTTGTCATATTGTGTCTCTATTTTGGGTGGAAGTTTAAAAAAAAAGTGTTTAAGGATTGGTCTGTTTTCTAGGAGAGTTTATAAACAGTCAAGACGTAGATTAGGGTTCCCGCAGGTCCTTAAAAGGTCTTAACAGGCGTTGAATTCTTCAAAATAAAACTAAGGCCTTAATTGGTATTAAAATGTCTTAAATCCGTCTTTCATAGATCTTAATTTTTAAAACATCATAAATAGGATTATTTTTATTATGATTTATTTTTGTAATCTTAATAAAACATTAAAATTGACCTTTTTTTTTTTTATTTAAAAAAAATAACGGCTCTCCATTATTGGTTCCGTCCCGATAGCGGAACCAATAAAGCGTTGTTGCAGCCGGGACATTTGGGAGATGCACCATTAACTTTTTGTCTGGAAAATATGAGCAAGTGTAAATGTAACCAAAATTGTCTCCAGCCAAGAGTTTTCTCCATGGCTAAAACCAGGGAACATACATGAGGCTCAGTGGATTTATGCAAGAAGTCATTCAAGCTCAGAACGATGGGAATTAAGGCAGTGGAGTCGCACATGCGAAACACAAAGCGTCAAAATGGAGTTACAGAGAAACAGCCGGTATTTCTCAGTTTAGTTCCACCCTTGTCTCTGCAACGCCTCCACTTATCACCAAATCAAACATACTAAGAAAACCATACAAAGAAAAATAGCTGCAAAAAAGACTTAGCACTGGTTATGTTGGGGCTTTAAAACTGATTAGTTTTGTTCCCTGCTAAAACAAAGTTTGTGAATTCAGTTAAATAATTGTTCAAATATATCTGTCATTTGTGTGTTTTTAGCTTTCTTCCTGTATGGGAAGCTTTTCAATATTTGAAACATTAGTGCAGTGGTTTATGTTAAAATAAACCTTTGGGTTAAGTTGTCGCAAGCAGGTTTTTCTTGTGTTTCTTTTGAATTTGGTCTTAAATTTTTATTTCAAGTGGAATTAAAAAGTCTTAAAAAGTCTTGAATTTAACTCGCCTTATGCTGTAGGAACCCCTTAGTTAATTTAATAATTGTTCTTGGTAAAAGGTTTATCTTTAAAGCCAAAAGTAGATTTTTACTTGGTATTAAATTTTTAAAAAACGTTTATTCAGCATTATTTAACTTTACAAAGTTATATGGTTTAAACTGATGGGAAGTTCTCAAATGTTTATTCTGAAAATGTCATGTGAGTGAGTATGAGGGGAGGGAGGCTTTTGGGTTGGTAGATTATCTCTGTAAATGTTTTTTGTTTTATCATTTATGTTGATTTAATTAGAAGAATAAAAAACCTCCATCTCAACGCTCTGACTCTGCTGTAGGTTTTCACCAACATCCAGGAAAAGGCCATCGAAGCTGAGATGGTTTCTACTAAAGACGTCAGCATGGAGCCGACCGTCAGGAGCCTCAGTGAAGATCTGGTATGTGACCTCGATGATGCGCCTCTCAGCTGATGTTTTCAACATTTCTGAAGATCCGTTTTTCTTTTGAATCATTTTCAGAACTTCCACATTTTTTATTCACATAAACCACATTTTAATCTTATACATGGGAACATGTGTGTCCAGCAAAGATGACACAGCTTGGTCTGATTTCTCTAATGGAAGTTACATCAAAGATCTCAGTTAAAGTTAACACAGTTAAAAAAAAAAAAGTGGCACCAACAAGGTGATTCCCAAAGAGCTGCTGGATTCAGTAGGTCAGAGGTCCGGGCCCAACCTGATTTTAAGGCACACTATGGAAAATTTTTCAGTTAATTAATGTGTTCCATAACGTTTTGGATGATTAAATGAGTCATTTCAGGTCGAACAAAGGTTTTCTCGGCCGCCCTGGTGGTCTGTAGGGGAAATACCGTACTTGCAATTGCAGGAGCCCTCGGCCCGCACCCACAGGCTCAGAAGTCTCGTGCATCGCGAGAGTCGGTCTTGCTTTACAGTGAGAACTGCTACACGCCCCCAGTGGAAGGCATGCTCGTTGCTAGCGCAGTGGCGATACTTGTGCATTTATCATGGCGGAACCAGCGAGAAAACAGCGAAAGCCCATGTCGGAGCAGTTTTCAAACTCGAAAATTGGAACAAAATAGTCACTCACCGCAGTAGACATGGTGATTCGTTGCGTTCGCCTGTCTGCTAAGCTCAAAACAACCGCGCCTGGCTTGACGGAGAAACCAGGAGAACAGCTGAGCATATTTACGACAGTGCACTTTTACTTTCACCCTCTGGGGGGAGCCTCGCTGGAAAATCAACACCGGTTGCATAGTATACCTTTAAAACATTTACAAATTACTGCATGTTGTCTGATGACTATCTAAACGTCACTTGCGCCTCTTCTCCTGTTAATACGGTAAAGCCCTCCGGAGCGTCCGGCTCCAGGCTGCACGTGATCAAAATCATCCAATGAGCTGTCAGTCTGGGTTGCTGCTGCTGCTTCTTATAGACACATCAGGCAAACCTGTGGCAAGCCGGGCGATGGGAAAGAAGGAGAAGATGACATCAGCGCGGCGCTCTGCCCCGTGCAGAGTACTTCTGTCGTGTTAATCAATGAGAACTGTTCCATATCCACTGCTACTCCTCCGCACATCACCGTCCACGTACGTCTTCTCCATCCGTCACCATCAATATATGGAGCTGAGCTCTTTTTGCTCCGCTCCGGCAAGGTCAAGATCCGCAATCGTATCAAACGGGAAAGAGAAAAGCGAGAAGATCCTGTTTTTCTCAAATTAAAATACAGTAACGACAGATCAGTAACTACAAATTAGGGCATAATTTCTATATATTCCCCAAAACTATGAAAGTTTAATAAAATTATTGGATGTAAGCTATTGGTACTTCAACAGACCAGGAAGCAGATTTCTCATCTTGATGGAAATATTTATTTTATACCAAGAGGCTTAAATGTTTCATCAAATGCAGTCCTTCCAAGAACGCGTCTCAAAACTTCAAATCCTGAACCAACAATTCGATTATTTTCGATACTCAAGAATACACCAAAATACGATTCTATTCGATTAATCGGTTAAATTTTTATTTTCAGTTTATTTTTTTACACCTAACCCCTTGCTCACACTGGCTCCGGTGCGGTTACCGAGCCGACGGAGACCGCAACTCCAGCACACCCCCTCTCACACCGCCCTTTTGACTACGGTGCGGTGCGGCTCTGCGGCTCCGGCAACAGGTCCGGAGATTTAACAGAAGTTCACTTGAGTTCACGTAACTTCACGCAATAACACGGCCCAAATAAGGATATTTGCGAGAGCTTGTTGCGGAGGGCTCCGGCACGCCGCAAGGATAGCTTTCTTGCAGAATTTTCTGCAGCGCCGGAGTGTCTCGGTAACCGCAGCCGGACAGCTCAGCAGCCGGTGAGAGAGGTTTACGTCTTTTTAATGACTTGGAATCACTGCGGCGCCGCACCCACCGCACCGCAACGGTAAGACCGGAGTCGGTGTGAGCCGGGGGTTACAGGCTAAACATAGTTTCCAGTTTGAAATTAATAAATGAAAGCTGTAATATCGTTATGCATTTTTTTTTTTTTTTTTAGAAACAACAGCAAATTACAGAAGTAGAAAAATTGCATCAAAAAATACTGCAAAAATACTGCACATAATCAGTGCAATGAGTGCAAGGCGATACCTCGGCTCCAGACGTCCCGCCCCCTCCACAGACGCTCCGCTGCTCCTCTCCCAGATTGTAGCTGACCGCAGACAGTGCCGCAGACAGAAGGCCAGCTTGTTTTGTTTTTATGACCGAAATTGCGGAAAACAACTCTTGAAGTTGGACCCGCTAGAAGAGCGAGGTGCGCGAGAACGCTGGGACCCTTTTTCCACCTGGATCTCCGCTCTTTTTGGCCCTCATGTCCCTCTGTCGTCGGACTAAACTCGCCCCCACTTCCTCGCTGCCTCGGCCGTATCTAGACCCACAGCGTGTAGCTCAGACCACGCTTCAATATTGAGCATAATTTTAAAATGTCTGTGTCAAGCTCACTGCAACACACTGCTGTAAGAGTATAACCAGGAGGCGAGGTAGGAGGGCAAAATAGGTTTAGCGCCACCGCAGCACGGGAGGAGAATTACGCCCAGGAGCAAATGGATAAAAATAGACCGGAGGGAGAAAAAAAAACATGAATCGATTCTCTTGCGGACGTATCGATGCATCGGATTGTTGGCTGTTGGATTGATGCATCGATACAAAACGATTATTATTTACACCCCTAATCATTTTATTCGCATAATGACTCAAAAATCACCTACATTCGAATAAAACGAGCCAAAAGCATACTCTGCGCCATTTTTGTTGTTTTGTACACATTCTTGCGTGATTTGAAAAATGCGCGTGATTTTTGAGTCCAGGAATTGGTGCGAATCAGTCACATTTTTTTTCGACTTGACAGGCTAAAAAACAACATGGTAATAAAATGTAAGTACAGTAACACACCCACCTCCCATTTCACCCTCCATCAGAGATCCTCTTTACCCACCACCCATCCTCATCCATTCACTAAACATCCAAAAAAAATTTAAAAAACAAACATGTTTCATTGATATATATACAAAAATGCACTATACTTATCAAACATTATACTGGGCAAGTAAAAATTGTTTCTGGGGAAATAAAATGTGAAAATCCTTAACGTCAACCCCTGTTTATATAAACCAATTTTTCATGATCCTAGTTATCGCTGTTACAAAAATCCACAACAAAAAGAAAATATCTGGGCAGAAGCTGCACATATGCTGGATGCTGATTTTTTTTAATATATTAAATTAAGCGTTCATTTCTGCATGTTTTGCTCCTATGAATTTAATAATAATAATATAGCGCATGCTCTCCTCAAGCTCCGAGGAAGTCTGAGCGGAGCAAGAAAGGAGGAACAGCGAGGCTGAAGACTTTTCACATGTGGTTTAAAACGGAGTGGATTTCAGGGTTAACCTTTAAAGGATAGCTTTGACATAAATGCTTTTAAAACTATTTAAAGTTTTTGAAATGCTTTGGGCCTCTTCTTCCAGCTGTATCGCTTAGTTTGTGTCTGAATTTGATTCGTAGACCGAAGCTGCCAAAGAGTTTGAGGACCGACGAAAAAAGGATCTGGAGAAAGTGAAAGAAATGCACCTGGAAGAGTGAGTCTGAGTCCGAACCGTCCAAATTTACCCGCTAGAATTTAAGCGCCTGAATCAGCGATGGCTTCCTTTGTTTTCAGGTACAAGATCCGTGGAGACGACGAAGAGTGGGACCAGGTACTGAAGAAGGCGGGGAGCACGGCTGTCGTCAGCATCAAAAGGTGCAGCATCACCCCATAAACAGGACATGACGGGTATGCTTGCTGTGGAAACTTGGCGGTAATGGTGTTTCTTTATCCAACAGTGACAAGAAGAGGAAATGGGAAGGAGGAAACGCCGTAACGAGTAATGGGGATGAGAAGCAGAAGAAGGAAATGAAACATGGAAAGTTCAAGAAACACAAGAACAAACCTGGCAAATTTGGAAAGAAGGCTTGATGGATGCAGACGGACGGACGGACGTGTAGAAATGTTTGTCTGATGATAAAAATTCACTTTTATTTTTCTCCTCAGTGCTGAGATAATCTGTACGACGTTGTAAATCGGCAAAAAAAATGACACATCTGCTCAATGTATTAAACATCTTTTATATTTAACCGTTTTATTTTTGGACTTTATTAAAAGAAAAATAAACCCAGATCTATAATAGATTCTCCTTAGACTCTGGTAACTTCAGCAGACCGGGTCGTATTTCAGTCCACTTCTGTTTGAGCTGCTGCTTCACATCTTCTCCTGCAAAGATGCAATCTACAGCTCGCTCCGACAGCGTCCACACGGCGCCGCGACTCAGGCCGAAGGTGGACGCAGCCAGCTGGTATTCCTGAGACAACTCCGTACAAAATACGCCCTTATCGTCCGTCTGTAACAGAGAAAAAAGAGAAACTTCACGGCTTTAAAGGGATTATTTATCATTTAAATGATCTGCTGGATCCCTTACATCCAGCAATTCAGTAAGTCTTAAAGGAATAGTACACCCAAAACATGATCAGCCTTCATTTTCTACTCCCCCCCATGCTGAACAACACTCTGGAGTACTTTTTTGATATCTCAAATGCATCTGGAGATCTGGGAGGCTTCTTGCTGTCTGCTGACATTCAAATAATGGAGGTCTATGGCGCCCGAGGCAGAAAGGTCCATAAAAGTCCACAAAAAACGTGTCAATATTCCTCCATACTGCTCGTCCAATGTATTCCAAGTGTCCTGAGTGGGTAGCGTCCAGAATTTACTCGAAACGAAGTCATTTAGAATGTTTTTAGAGCATAAACAGTAGTGTATAGGATTTCCTGAAAGCGCGTTCACGAGTCTACGGAAACCGCGGAAGACCAAACCAGATGAAAGTGCGCATTCAGCTCGGCAAAGAACTCATGCTCTTCCTCAACACTGAAGTCCTCAGACATTTTTCTTTCGTTGTTTCTTTCTTTGCACAGGTAAACAGCACATTTCTTCTTCTACGCTTGCATTATCAGCAGAGCAGACACTGAATGCGCACTTTCATCTGGTTTGGTGTGCCATGGTTTCCGTAGACTCGTGAACACGCTTTTAGGAAATCCTATACACTACTGTTTATTCTCTAAAAACATTCTAAAGGACTTCGTTTCGAGTAAATTATGGACGCTACCCACTCAGGACACTTGGAATACATTGGACGAGCAGTATGGAGGAATATTGACAAATTTTTTGTGGACTTTTATGGACCTTTCTGCCTCGGGCGCCATAGACCTCCATTATTTGAATGTCAGCAGACAGCAAGAAGCCTCCCAGATCTCCAGATGCATTTGAGATATCAAAAAAGTACTCCAGAGTGTTGTTCAGCATGGGGGTGAGTAGAAAATGAAGGCTAATCATGTTTTGAGTGTACTATTCCTCTAATTAAACCCATTTATAGGGCAATGTTTTAAATTTTCTTCTCACTCGGAAGGATTAATGGGAGCTAAACTACATAGAAGTTCAGATTTTAGTCGATTAGAACAGCTGTGGTGAAACAGGAGAGTCCCATCGTAAACGTAGACATGTTTACGACATGGAATCCAATCTTTATCCCTTTAAAGCCCGATCCAAGAATAAAACAAAACAGAAAATTACTTTTTTTTTTTTGGTTTGAAATCCTTATTTGGCCTTTTAACAAAATATGTAAAAAGAAAAAACAGAAATACATTTTTGATATTAATAATTTATTACTATGCGATAAGTCAAGATTATTTTTTGTGTAGTCTTCTACTGGCTGTTATCAGTTATATCTGATTGTGTACAATAGGATTTTGAGCAAAATTTTTACCATTAAATTATGCAAAAGGTTTCAGACGCAAAACATTTCAGAAACCGTATGTATCAAATATAATACATTTGGCATTACAGGGTTAACTCTGTAAGGTGGATCTAATCATGAGTCTTAGAAATGTTGTTCTGGGGATCTTCAGGTAAACATGCCCAGAACAACAATCTCCTCTAAATCTTGGAACCAGACGAGACAAAACCTTTTTGGGCCATATTTATTTATTATTTTATTGCTGTAATAACTTCCGAGTATAAAACAATGGCAGACCGCTGCTAATCCAAGGATTCTTTCTATTAAATCATTTAGTTTTTCTTTTAAATTAGGTTATTTTCCTCCATGGCAACATGAACTGCATCGAGGCAATGACGGACATTAATTGTGATTGGCTTCTATCAAAGATTATTACATTATCTTTTAAAAATGAGCATATAAACCTGTTTTAGCCTCTCAACAGGCCACACTGAGAACGCCTAAAAAAGTATCCAAGGTTGATCAGACGATCTTGAGCCTTTTGGATGGATTTGCTCCGCATATCCATCTGGAAACCTTCCATTGAAGTAATTTTGGGAACTGGTTAGCTGATTGGCCTATGTTGGTGATAGACCTGCCAAATAAACCAATCAGATCAACGAAGCATATGACGTACTAACAGAGCGACGGCGAAGAGGAGCCAATTAATAGATCAAACTCTTGCTGAAACCAGTCGGGAGAAGAGCAAAAACATCTTTTCCTCTGAGAAAAGCCTCCAGAGCAGTGTTTTGCTCTTCTTTCAGTGAAGAAATACTCTGTAATTCCCATAAAACTTGCTCGATAGCCATAACGCTAGTTTCATTGGCTGAAGCCGCCATGTTCTTTAGACTGAACTGTCGCGCTTCTCGTTGCGTCACGCCTCAACCCGCCTCAAAGCCAACGCTGATTGGACGTTCGTTTGGTTAACAGCTCCAAATTTTCTTTAACGGAGAGTCTCCAGACTGATTAGCGAGTGAAACCTTGAAAGCTCACGAGATCAGGATGGTCTCACGAGGCTAGTAAAATCGGGTTACTTTGAGAAAATATTGCAGTAAATTTAAAATCAATTTTATTTGTTCTGGGAGAATAAACTATCTAAATCCATAGTGGCATCATCTGGGAGTCAGAAGATGTCACTATTTGCTAGGTGACCATCATTGGATAATATTGACAGAAAAAAAAAAATTTACCTGAAAGAAATTGATAAAATTAGGTGTTCAGGAAAATAAAAAATGTTTAACCAGGTGCACTAAAGAACAGCAATAACCTGCCATCAGAAAATATGCAGCTGTGAGGAGTGAAGGCCTGCATCGCCAGCGGAAAAAAACAGCAGCCTGGTAAGAGGTTAGAACTAGGGATGCACGATATAATCGGCCCCCTATCGGTATCGGCCTTAAAACTGAATATCGGACATCGGCCACCCCACCGATATTTAACCCGATATTTGATCGGCTTCTGAGTTTCTAAAGTCTAAAAAAAAAAAAAAAATACTTCTTCCTCTTCCTCAAAAACTTCTAAAGACGATGGAAAAAATATTGATACATTAAAATATCCCAATATCTTCATATGCTGATATATTGCCTTTTAAAAACACCATATCAATCTCTTTTACTAATGAAATATTGCTATATGTCATCGTTATGCTACGAAATCCCCCGAAAATTCACAAAATTTTGCCATATTTTTATATGTTGATATATTGACGCGGTATCGATCTATTTTACTAACAAAATCTCACAAGAATTTGCAAAATATCACGAGAGTTTGTAACAGAATGATGAAATTTCACGAGATTTTGAAAGTAAAATAGATCGATACCGCGTTTTTAAAAATCAATTTGATATCAGCATATGAAAATTTATTAGAGTATATTATTTTTCAAAGTGTCAGAAATGGATAACAAAACTGCTATTTTCAATGACTACTTATTTTTGTCCAGCTTTAACATCGGTATCGATATCGGTTATCGGCTACATGAGTTTTCAAATATCGGCATATCGGATATCGACCAAAATCCCAATATCGTGCATCACTAGTTGAAACTTTAAAACACAAAGGAATTAGTAGATATAAAGAATACATTTTTATTCACCAAGGTCAACCAAGAGTAAAAGATTAGTAATATATACTGAAATGAAATAGTTTAACTGGATTCAGATCCACCGGAGGTAAAACTTACACAAACAGCACAGGGATGTCCCAGCTGGTACCAGTATTTGAAGTGGTGTTGGGAGTAACTGGACACGGTTTGTCCTTTCACGTTTGATGTCAAGCAAATCTCTACAAGCAAAGAAGGAGATCGGATTAATGAGCCGAAAGCTGCTCTCTGTACTCTGGATCTTGGTGGTTTACCCAGAGGGATGTTACGATCCACCACTCGGTCCACCAGCGACTGAGAACCGCCCATTTCAGGATGCAGGAATGTTCCGTGGCCGATCCGGTCGGGGGGAAGATTCAGCAGCAACTCAGATTCTTCCCGCTGGGAGGGAACCTGCAACCAGATTTATTGCAATAACCGGAGCGTTTCACATCGAGTTCAAATAAAGCTAAATCTAAGGAGAAGACCTACTTCCGACATGTGCAAAGACAACTTCAGTCCAGAGTTTCTGGCTTTTTCCAAAGCTGGAAGAAGATCCCTGCCTCGGCCCACCTTTGAATGAAAGATACGTCAGCCTGATGGGACTGATGTAATGGAAATCCTTTAAAATCCTTCATAATCATCTACCCTAAGATTACACTGCTGTTAATAAATATTGACCTGGGATAATCTTCAATGCGTTTTTCAACACTGATGTTAAATATGAATAATTTCATTACCAAATACAGTAAATATTAAAACTGTAATGCAGTGGTGCTTAAGTCCAGCCTTTGAGAGCTACAGTCCTGCTCAGCATTATTGGCGCCCCTTCATCTTAAGCATGGCTGAGTGAACTTCACTCTTCAGACATAAATGGAAATGTTCAAAAGTTATATCAGCAAGATCTTTCAATTTAAGGTCCAAAATAATTTAAGAAAGAGGGTTACCATTTCAACACAAATATTTTATAATTCCAAAAGACAAAACAGAAAACCAGCATGTGCACCAATATTGACACCCCTCCCTAATATTTGGTTGGCAGCAATGACAGCCTCCAAACGTTTCTTATATTCATCTGTAAGCTTCTTGCACTTCTCGGGTGGCATTTTCTCCCGCTCTTCTTTTGCAATCTGCTCGAGCTCTTGAACATTTGCAGGGTTCCTTTCTCCAATGGCAGATTTCAGCTCTACCCAAAGATTTTTAATTGGATTGAGATCAGGACTCTACGGATCCCCTAAAGGGACATGGAGGGAAAAAATAAACTTTTGCGAGATCCCGCAATACTTTTGTGAGATCTCGCAAAAGAATTGGGGGATCTTGCAAAACTATCTCGCAAAAGTTCTTTTTTTCCCCTCCATGTCCCTTTGGGGGATCAGTACCGTATAGTCCTACGGAGCCCCTAAAGGGAGATGGAGGGAAAAAAGGAACTTGCGAGATCCCGCAAAAGTATTGCGGGATCTCGCAAGTGTATTGCAGGATCTCGCAATACTTTTGCAAGATCTGGCAAAAAATAAACTGTTGCGAGATCTCGCAATACTTTTGCAGGATCTCGCAATACTTTTGCAAGATCCTGAATACTTTTGCGAGATCCTAAATACTGTTGTGAGATCTCGCAATACTTTTGCAGGATCTCGCAATACTTTTGCGAGATCCTGAATACTTTTGCGGGATCTCGCAATACTTTTGCGAGATCCTGAATACTTACGCAACACTTTTGCAGGATCTCGCAAAAGGATTGCAAGATCCTGCAAAAGTATTGCGGGATCTCGCAAAAGTATTCAGGATCTCGCAATCTTGCGAGATCTTGCAAAAAATAAACTTTTGCGGGATCTAGCAAAAGTTTCTTTTTTTTTCCCCCTCCATGTTCCTTTAGGGGCTCCATAGGACTCATTGCTGGCCATTTTAAAAAAGCCAATTTTTTCCCTTTCATCCATGCGTGCGTGGTTTTGGAGCTGTGCTTTGGGTCATTATCTTGCTGGAAGACCCAGGATCTTTGCCTCAAACCAAGCTTTCTTACACTGCGCAAGACATTTCGCTCTAGAATTTCTTCATAATCTTCTGGTTTCATGATGCCTGTGATACGGTCAAGGCCTCCAGTACCAGATGCCGCAAAGCAGCCCCACAGCATTATGCATCCTCCACCATGCTTGATTGTTGGTATGGTGGTGTTTTCTTTAAAGGCTTCATTGCGCCGTCTGTAAACATACCGTTGGTGTGAATTACCAAAAAGCTCCACTTTGGTTTCATCTGTTCATAAAATGTTGTCCCAGAAGGCTTGAGGTTTGTCCAGGTTCTCTTTTGCAAAATGGGTTATTGTATTGTATTTTATTATATTTTATCATAATATAAAAAAAAAATTAGAACTGTAAATTTACAGTCATATGTTTATATTACTCTTTTTATATTTATTTATTTTTGTACTATTTTTCAAGCCTGCACTTTTAAAAAGATGAAATTGTCCAGAGAGCTGTTCTAAACGAAATTTATTTGTCTAAGTCTAATAAAGGCAGCGCTATAGGTAACCTCACCATAAGAACGAGCCAAAGGCAGCCCTCTGCAGTATGGAAGCAAATCGTTGCCATATTTAAAATGAAAAAGCGTTTTCAGAAATGCTTTTTCATTTTAAGAATGTGGCTGCATTGTTTGACTCATTAATTAAATTAGTAATCAATAATCCTGTTTGCTTTTTCATTTTCTTCTTTAACACTGCTCATCCTTTTACTTAATTAAAATGAAAAAGAAAAAGACGTTTGAGATTTATTTTTCAAAATGTACCCCAGCAAATACATGCCAAAATTCAATTTGAAATGTAAAATTTGAAAAAAAAAAAAAAAGCATATCTGGAAATGCTTTTTCATTTTAAATATGATAACGATTGCCTTCCATACTGCAGCACGCATGGCCTCAGGAAAACCGTTCCCCCTCTCAGCCCCCACCACCACCAACCCCAATGTATGTTATGCATTGTGATGGAACAGTTGGTACTGAAACTGAAATCTCTATTGGAAATTAAACCGTAGTTGACAATTAGTAGTTGATTTTTTTTTCTTGTGGATGAGACTCACTCAGAAACAGTCGGCCGATTGTAAAGTTTAGAGGACTGATTTTTATTTTTTAGTTTTATTGTGCTGTTATTGTTCTGTCACAAGTACAGAGCAATGAAATTAACTGTCTGCATTTAACCCATTAACTTTGGGGATGAAGTGGGCTGCCATTTTGCAGCGTCCAGAGCAGGGTGGGGTTAAGTGTGTACTGCAAAAAATAGAAATCTCAATAAGTTTTTTTTTTCTTAAAATAAGTGCGTTTTTCCTTGATTTGAGGAGGTAAGTAAGACACTTTGCCAATGGAACAAGACAATTTCCTTTTAAAATAAGAAAAAACAATTTTATCGTCTTATTCCAAGTAAATATTATCTAACTATCTTATTTTAAGAGTGAAAATACTCATTCCATTGGCAAATCATCTTATTTACCTGCTCTAATTAAGGCTAAATATACTTAATTTAAGCCATTTTTTACTTATTTCTGGATTGTTTTTGCAGTGTAATCTAGTCCGCCACTCCCCAAAGCAGGACCCACACTGGCAGATTATTCCCCTCAGCTGGGATACGAACCCAGACTTCCTGTTTGCAGGACGGGTGACTTACCTATCAGCTAGCCAGGCGCTGATTTAGTGCATTTCTGAAACTTTTGTGTTTTGAGCATCAAAGGCTTACTGATGCTTAAAGGGAGCATGGTGCTGATAGATGATGGTCATAATGTTATGTCTGATCATTTTGAACCGTAATTCTGCTAAAAACACTGAAAGGGGACAAAAACAAATCCCAAAATTTTTTTTTTCCAGCATGTGACTCCAAAATGAGAGCATTATGATTATAACTGGATTAGCAAAACTGGAGGCTGTTATTTCGGAAGCTTTTTTCAAAATCCAACCTGGTGTGCTTTAAAAAACTAAACCTATTTTAGCCAAAAGGGCGGATTTAAATTTAAATTGATCCAAAACAACTTAAAAATGTTTTCGCTGAAATGGAAATTTCGCTGAAAGTGTCCCTAACCGTCGGATCTCCGCTGAGGTCGATTCCCACCACCAAGCCTCCAGACGACAGCATGAACTCCTCGGCCAGCTTCACCGTCTCCATGGCGACTTCAGTCCCATTTCTCCGGTCGATGGCCACCAAAAACCTTTCAGTTAAACTTATTTTTAGTATCAAAGCACAGCTGGTGGTAAACATAGAATAAAAGCCATGATCATTAACCTGACGTCTATGTCCACTCCCTCCTCTTTACACTGCTGAATGGCCTTAATGACGGCTTCCACGTAATTCTTTTTCGTTAATCCTAGGATAAAAAATAAAACCCAACTGTTAACATAAGTAAGATCCAAGACAACGAAGCATCGAGTCAAACCCTCTGGATCCATTTTTAAATTCGTACCTGTGTCTTTCTCTGCCCTCGGAGTGCTTCTGAGCTCAAGATATTTGACATTATCAGCTGCAAACTCGTTGATAACATCTGTCGCCACCTTGATTAGAAATAAAAATCTGTGAGTTGAAATCCAGAGAATGTCATAAAATAGAAGGTAAATTCTCACCATCAAGATGTCCTCCTGTGAGTCCACCAGTTTGTGGATTACTTTAAAGACCTCAAAAC